TCCCTCCCTCCCTTCCTTCCTTTATTTCTTTCTCATTTCCAAAAGCCAATAAGGTCTAGATTTTGCTCCAGTTTAGACTTTCTTTTCAGGGTCAGGGAGACCCAGTTCACCAAATGGACTTTTATAATTACAGTAGCCCATATATAAACACTTATAGAATTTCTGGGTGGTTACTGTTGCTCTTCATTAATCTGATTAACAAATAAACAAAAGCCTTTGATGGGTGCTTGAATCCCTGGGATCAGAAGCAGCTCTACTGATCTAAAGAACAAAGCAGTTAAACAGCACTGAGATGTATGCAGGAGTGAGGTTAAAATGACTGGAGTGGAGAGGAGGCATCAATCAGCTGATAAGGATTTAAGAAAAATTCTTATTGATGATTTTTTTAAAAAATGCTGTCATTTCACAATGACTCTCAACCAGCAAAGAATCTTTCTTGGGAATGTAGGCAGGTATTTCAGTAAATAAATCAATACACAGCCCATGTCAGAAAATGAAAGCCAGCCTTATTTGCACCTGTGGTCTGGCCACTTCCATGCTGAGAGGCAAGAGAATTGTCTCACTGTCAGACCTCTATTTTCCTTTTCATTATTGTGGTCGTCACATACATGGCTCTCTTGGCTCTGACTGCTTTGCTCTGTATCGATTTAGTCAATCTTTCCTGAATTTCTTGGCATTCTTCATATTCATAATTTCTTATGCCATATTCCAATTATATCCATGTATCCCAATTTGTTCAACCTTTCCCAAATCCATTTTTGTCTAGAGGGGAACTTTCCTTCTCTATCTGACCTTACTAGGGCATAGAGGTGGTTAGCTCAAAATGAGTCAATCGGTGATAGAGCCATAGCCTTTAATGCTTACAAACTGCTTTGTATGTTATTATGCTATCTATAGTAGAGAGAACTTAGGGTTTAGAATTATGGCCCTGGGCTTGACTTCCAGCTGTGACATGTACTGATTGTAGGACCCTGGGACCTTTTTTTGAGCCTCAGTTTTCCTAATCTACAAAATGGGGACAATACTATATCTACTTCACAGGGTTGTTTTGAGGCGAGTGCTCTGTTTAAAACTCTATAGAAAGGAGAGTAAAAGTTACTGTCTTATTTGATCCTTACAACAAACCAATAAAGTAGATGCTATAAATATTCTAATTTTCCACGTCACAGATCTGGAAACTGAGACTTTGAGAAAGGATAAATGGCTTTCCCTCAGCTGAACCATCTAGGAACTGCTAAAGGTGGAATTTGAATCTGGGACTATTTCCACCATATTATCTTGCTTCACAGTTAATGGAATCTTCCTTACTGAGAAGCTAGTCTGCCTTAGTGAGAGGCAGTGCCATGGGGTGGGAAGAAATTTGGGTCTGGGGTTAGAGAAAATGAATTAGAATCCCAGTTCTGTTACTTGGAACTTAACCTCTCGACTCTGGTTTCCTCATTTGAAGGGACTGGACCAGATGTCCTCTGATATCTCCTTTACCTTGAGGTTTATTATCCTGTGATTATCAGTGCTCTCCAAGTTCCATGGCTATGAGAACTGAGGGGACACCATTGTCTGGGTCTTGTTTCCTTACAGGTGTTGAATGCGGGCCGATGACTTTAAGTTCGAACACCACTGAAATTCACTTGATTGATTTACCAGAAAACTTGTCCATCAGCAATGTGACCAGCGAAGGTAGATATGTGTCCTGGAGTATCCAGGATGGGAGTACAGTGAATAAGACGATTGTGGGGTTGAGCCCTGGGGAGATGTACGAGATCGAGTTGAAGAATGGTACCAGTACTTGCTGCAAAAAGTGGTCAACACGTAAGTGACATCAGATTCTTTTTTTTTTTCCCTATTAAACATATTTTCACATTAGTTATGTTGTAAAGAAGAATTACAACCAATAGAAGGAACCACAAGAAAGAAGAAACAAAACAAAACATAAGAGAGAGAGAGAAAAAAAAGAGAACATAGTATGCTTTGATCTGCATTCAAACTCCATAGTTCTTTCTTTGGATATGGATAGCATTTTCCATCATGAGACTTTTGGAGATGTCTTAGATCCTTGCATTGCTGAGAACCACAATGTGGTTGTTACTGTGTACAATGTTGTCCTGGTTCTGAGTTTTTCTAGGTTTTTCTGAAGTCTGCTTGCTCATCATTTCTTATAGCACAGTAGTATTCCATTACATTCATACACCACAACTTGTTAAGCCATTCCCCAACTGATGGGCATCCCCTCAATTTCCAGTTCTTGCCACCACAGAAAGAGCTGCTATAAATACTTCTGTACGTGTGGGTCCTTTTCTCATTTTTATGATCTCGTTGGGATACAGACCTAAAAGTGCTGTTGCTGAATCAAAGGGTGACATCAGATTCTTTATCTGCAAAGGGAACCCTTTAGTGCTTCATTAGGTGGAAGGCTATTCTTACTATCCAGCAGAGCTAGGTTAGTGAAAGGAGACACCGGGCCTTGGTTTAAAACCCTGATCTCTGGCAGAACCTTGATCTCGGCTCCAACTCTGGAAACTCTCATGGCCCATCTGCTTTCTGTTCAGCAGTCCCTTTCACTTGGACAAACAATTATTAAGAGCCAGCTGTATTCAGAGCCCTGTGCTAGGCCAAGGTGGTGTGTGGGAGGGAAGCAAAAGGCCAAGACAAGACAGCCCTGCCCTCATGGAGCTTCCAGGCTGTTAGGGAGAACAGAGAGGCAAGGGGAATGACAGGGAGCCATCATAGAGACAATACGTTGGTGCTTCAGAGAGGTGAAAACTAGGTGGAGGATGAAGGGATGGTGGTCATGGCTTGGGGGAAGCTTCATGGAAGACACAGCAGAGCCAGATTGTGGGGGGCCTTGAATGTCAAGCAAAGGAACTGGAACTTTAATGGATGGACAGACAATAGAAAGACACTCCAGATTCTCAAACACAGGAATTTCATGTTTAGACCTGTGCCAAAGGTTAGTCTTGAACTCAAAACCTTGGACAAGTTTCCTGAAACTTCTCACCATTTGAGGTATAAACATTCCTTCTTGGGCCACAATCCACTCTTGGTGTGTGTGTGTGTGTGTGTGAAATACTCAGGGAGGCCTCAATCTCTTGTCCCTAGCTTCTTTGGCTACATGCCACTTTGCTTGGTGGTCAGGAGTAGCTTCCTACCTGAGAAGGTTTTAATGAAGCTGTGAGGTGGGTAGAAAGAGTGCTGGGCTTGGAGCTGGGAAGCCCTGAGTTCAAATGCTGGCTTAGTCTTTTACTAATTTTGTGACCCTGGGAAAGTTCTTAAACCTCTCTGCTTCAGTTTCCTCATCTGTAAACTGGGGAGAATAATAACACCTCCCTCCCAGATTTATTGTGATGATCAGATGAGATAATGTCTATTTAGTGCTTAGCAAACCTTAAAGCACTATAGAAATGTCGGCTATTGTTATTTCTGACTGTTTGTCTCCATTCAGCTGCTCACATGTGCCCGTGTCTTCTTAAACTCAATGTGGAGGAGATGGACTTTGCCCATCCTCTGTCTCTTACCTTCTTCTTCTGCCATTGGCTTCTCCTGCCCCACCCATTTCTTCACTGGTCTCCATACTTAATAGAAGTGAATAGAAGGTCTGGGAAAGCCCTTGGGGCATACTGTCAAATCCCTTCATTTTAGAGCGGAGGAAACTGAAGCCCAGAGAGGTTTGATACTGGTCCAAGGTTGCTCAGGTAGAAGGTGGCAGCATGGAGCTTCACACAGAGCTCCTCTGACTCCAAGTTCCATACCTTTCCTATTGGATCTTAGAACCCCTGCATGGATCAGTCTGTGTTCCCCCTCCAAGAAGCTTCCCCAGATGGATTGAAGTTTAGCCTCCCCTTCCATGATCCTGGGTCTTTGTTCTGAAGATGATTATGTTGGTGGTTTACGAACTGTTTCCCATGATCCCTTTGGATTCTGAGGCCCTTGAGGGTGGGAAAGAAGCTTGTTCTTTATTGTTTTGCGTCCTGTGAACATTCATTAAATGTGGAACCTAACTAGGAAATTTGCTATTTGCTGTTATACTGTAGCCGGATTTCTTATAGGAACATATTGAGATGATGAAGTTCTTACAGAGAATAAAATGATCTTTTTCTTCTGGAGTCTTTCCATGTGACATTGAGCGTGTTACTTAATTTCCCTGGGTCTCCGTTTGCTTCTGTATAAGATAAGGGGGTTGGACTGGATGCCCTTGGGGCTCCTGCCAGTAGAATGAGCCCATGAGAATATAATTCTGCACATTTTTGTGGTGCACCTTGTGTGTGTATATGTTGGGGCCATGCTAGAGGTGGTTCACGAAAGAATACAAAAGTATTTATGAAGCGCTTACTAAGTCCCAAGCACTATGGTAAGCACTAGCAATACAAACATCAAAGCGAAGACAGTCCCTGTCTTCAGGGACCCTCCATTTTAATGGGGAGGTGGCCAGGGAGAGGCCCTTTGGTCCAGAAATGTACCAGATAAGTGAATGGAACCGGGGGGGGGGTAGGATGTCCATCCAAATGAAGATAACTAGGGTTCCTCCCCTCCAGCTAGGGATGGCAGAAATAGAGTGGAATCACCCAGGACAGGTGCCCATGTGGTACTAGGAGGAAGAAGGAATTGGGGGGTGGCTCCATCTGCAGGTCACGGATGGTGACTTAGCTCATCAGCTGGGCTCCATAGATTGCTTTTGTACCGCAGTGCTCCTTTTCCTCTTTGCCGTCTGTCTCTTTTTCTTACGTGGACATCATAGCTGGGCTTGGAATCCAGGCCTCTCCCTGGGTCTCGGTCTCCTCACCTCTGAAATGCTGATGATGGACAAATTGACCTCTGAGGCCCCATCCAGGTGGAATGCCTGTGGAACCTTGGTTAGTTCGGCACCTGGAATGTTCTCTCCTCACTGCTACCTTTTGGAACCCCTGGTTCCTGTCCAGGCTCATCTTCCTGAAGAGCCTCCTGCATGAGGACTTTGCTGGCTCTTTTCACCTCTCTCACATCCCCAGTTAACTTCCTATTTATTTTTTGCTGGCTCACCAGCCCAGGTCTGGCTCTGGCTCCCACTCCGGGGGCCTGCCCCCGGCGGACTCAGCCCTGGGTGAGGTATTTTATTAATTCTTTTAGCCTAGCAGCAGACATAAAGAAATAAACCCTACTTTGTGGTGGGAAAAATACTTTTCTTGGAGGCTTCTAAATGTGGAGCGTGCATTTATTCTTATGTTTCATTTATGATAATCTTTCTTTCCTTTTAAAACTTAAACAGAACCTAATCCGGTATTTGACATTGAAGTTGTCAGCATGGGGACAACTGAGGTGACCCTGACCTGGAAGAACTTGGACCAAGCTGCTTCTGAGTACAGATACGTTGTGCATTCCGGGAAGGAAATAAAAGTCATCACCAAGCAGCACATAAATGTTACAATCACGGATTTGGAACCTGGCACTTATTATGTATTCTTCATCTCCCCAGAATTGAAAGATGGGACTCAGGGATCCCCGAAAGCTGTGACTGTCACGACAAGTAAGTCAGTTTTCCCTGAGCAATAATTAAGTCCCTCTGTGAACGGGAATGGATGCCTTGTGCCATGGGACTCCCTCAATTCATATTGGCTGATTTACAAAGAGATTTCTCATGGAGTCTGGGGGAAAAAAGCGAGTCTGGTCTCATTGGAGTTGAAAACACTGAAGCAGCTGGGGTGATTCAGTTGTCAGGCTGTGTTTGGATGGGGAAGGCTCCCTTTCTGTGCCAGCCCCTTCCAGCCTCCTCGTGACTTAAGGAGCTTACATAGAAGTCAGATCGGCCAGTCATGCTAAGCACGAGCCCTTAATTAGACTTGTTTATTCATACAAAGGAAGGTCTGAGGCCTGAAATAGGAGATCCCTGGAGGTGGGCTGGGGGCAAGCAGGGATGCAAGCAGGTGCTGGGGAAGTCAAGGATGGGAACCCTCAGACCGTGGGAGAAGGAATAAGGAAGCCAATGCTGTGTGGATTGGGCACCTAGAGGTTTGCCAGGCTCTGATTACTCCTCCAGGGGCACCTTGGTCCTTCATTGCCTCTGCACTAGCCCATCTCAAGGGTGCCAGGGCCATGGTTTTGCTATGGAGGGATGGGTTTTTGCCAGAAAGCTGGACAGAAAGTCTGACATGGATGGATCCTGATCTTGTGGGGGTAGCCCCTCTGCCCGAGGAGATTGCACCTCATTTCTACTGTCTCATCCAGGGCCATTCTTCTTCCTGCCTCTCTGTAAATTCTCCATTGAGGATTCATTCGGTAGTTTGTCATAGCAAGGTTTTATTTTTACTTTTTAAGTTTTCCTGGTGCCTTTCATATTTATATTGCAGCTGTTTCTTGAAATATTCTGGTCATGTATTTGTTTATTTTAATGCCTTTTTTTTTGGTGAAAGTTTGATTTGGAAATAGAGAATTAGTCAGAAACTTGATAGGATTCTGGCAATTATTACCTGCAAAATATCTTCCATGTTTACTTGCAGGATTAGTTGAAGGAACTGAAGCCATTTAGTTTAGAGGAGAGAAGACTTGATGGGGTAGGGGGGGTAGGGGAGCTGTCTTTAAACTCTACCATTACCCTGTCTACTTTTGGACAGGTGTGTGTGTGTGTGTGTGTGTGTGTGTGTGTGTGTGTGTGTATGTGTGTGAGTGTTTGAGACTGTGTGAGTATGTACATGTGTATGTGTGTGAATGTGTTTGTGTTTAAATGTCAGACAGAAATAGGTCTCTCTGCAGCTTCTGCCCCGAGGTCTTTCCTCTAGGGCCACACAAAGCAAGTCTAACCTCCCCTGTCCCACTATGAGTCCTCTGTTCTCTGGGCTAATTATCTCCTCACAACAACCCCCCCACCCCCCACCCCAGTCAACAATCTTTCCAGGTCAGAATCTCCAGGTCTTCTGCTATGCTGACTGACTTCTTCTGGCTGTGTGTCAGCTTGTCCCTGTCCTTAAAATATGCTCCTAGAACTAACCCTCATACTCTCACTAGGCCTGAGCCAGATTACGCGGCTTGGTAATGGAGGGGTGTTGGTTCTCCATGGAGGGAGGTGTTGTGGCATAGTGGTTAGTGAGCTAGTCTCAGAGTCAGGAAGATGTGGGTTTAAGTTCTGCCTCTGACATACACAGGCTCTGGTGATCCTGGGCAAGTCACTTGCCTCTCCGTGCTTTAGGCAGCTCTCTAAGGTTTTAGGTTTCAGAGAAAGTGATGAGCTGCATTGGTCCAGGTGATTTCCCAAACCAAGAGTTTTCTATGTCAATGAAATCACAAGTTCAACCCCATTTCCTTGTGGTCATCATGGTGCCCCACTGGTTGATGAATTAAAATTGATTGCTAATTTCTTTCTCTCTCTCTCTCATTCTCATTCCTTTCCAAACAGAACCAAATCCAGTGTCTGAGCTCCAGGTCACAGATGTGGGCATAGCTGAGGCTACTCTAAGCTGGCACTCAGACAACAGCACTGTGGCAACTCACATGCTATTGGAAGGTTTTGAAGATGAGACTAATTCATCCTCCCAGGTGCTACTTAATATTTCCGGCCTCGAGCCAGGTTTCCAGTACCAGTTCAGTCTGTTTCTTCCAGAACCTTGTCAGGCCCAAGGAGACCCCAACGCCACACAAAACAGGACAGGTGAGTCACAGAACTGAATTCTCTGTTATCTCTTATTGAACTGCTCCCTTCAGGTGAGGTCGATGTAGGAGGGTGGATTTGAGGAAGGGAGGATGACGATAGTGGCAGTAAAGAGAAATTCAGCTATGTTCATGAAGAACACAGTAATCTGGGGCTAGACTTACAAAGACAGAACGGTCCTTGTTTACTCTCTGAAATCCCTGACCTCAGATTTGTGCAGTGTCCTTGGCTCATGCTTTTGCATGGTGCTCGTGTGAGGGAACTGAAATCCAGTTTGGGAAATCCTAGGGTCAGCTGCATACAGATCCTTGTGCTGGGCTAAGTGTAGGTATGACACAGTCCTGTCCTCATGAAGTTCCAAGACTGGTTGGAGGAGAAGACACAACTATAGGTAATTATGAAATATAATACTGAACATCTCATAAAGGTCTGAGGATGAAGAAGGCCCTTATTCTCCAGGAGGTGGGGGGCAGAGATTAGGGAGAACATGGCAGGGAACTTGGAATTTAAAGGGTGGAATGAAATTAATGAAAAGTCTGCTCATGAGGGTCAACAGTGACCAGATTGCTACATGTTCTTAACCCAATTAAATTTTTTTTAAAATTATTTTTTTTGCTGAACTTAACACAGAAATGAACATTTCCACATGTGGAGCAGTGCAGATAGAGGATTACACCATGAATTTCTGTTCCATACCACTTGCTTTAAAAAAAAAAAAGATATAATTAAAACTGCCCTGCTTCTCTGTGCTTCCTTTTGAACTGCTTCTATTATTCTCTGTGAAGTTTTAAAAATGTTTCAGTGATCCTCCTCTTTTTTCCTTTTTTTTTGACATTACTATTGCTACCTCTCTTTTCTCTCCTGTACCCCAGTTCCAACTGAAAACAGACAACCTTCGCCCCTCCCCATCTCCCATAACAAATAAGCAAAGTCAACAAATCAAACCCACACAATGGCTATGAATTGTTCTCCTGGTCAATTGGCTCAGCATCAGTTCATAATTACCAGCATTCTCTGAAATCATTTCTTAGGGTGCAATAGTATTCCATTCCTTTCATATATCTCAGTGTGTTCAACTATTCCCCATTTAATGAGTACTCCATTAGTTTCCAGTTCTTTACCTTTCTTTTTTTATTCCTTTTAATTTACCCCTTCAGGATCAGGATCTTTATTTTACTTGCCACTTTATCTTCCCCCTTTTTTAAGTATTATTCTTCTTCCCTCTTAACCTGACCACCTTATCACCAACTATATTTCTGAGTTTTATATATTCTATACCAAACAGTGTATGTGTGTGTTAAAACCTCTTAATATTCATTTCATACAAGAGCAAAGTTCATCTGATGCCCACGTGTTTTTGTATCATTCTTTTCACGTGCCCCAATTATAGGAAATACTAAAATCTACCTCCTTCTTCCTCTTTTCTAGTGTATTTCTTTTGCCTTGCCTTCACCCTCCCCCACTTAAAACCCTTAGAACAGAATCCACTCACTTCCCCTCTAGGACATCTTATTTTTCTTATTTAACTCCCTCAATACCATTAGTAGACATTAAGGTTCTGAAGAACCTTAGGTTCTTCTGTCTCTCTTCTCCCTCCTCCCCATTAGACTTATTAGTACTTTATCATTGTATAGCCTTTTCCAGTTGTTCAAATAAAATTTACCTTTCTAGGTTTCTTTTGACCCTTCTCTTTACCCTATATTTCCTGATCCTATATTTCAAAATTCCTACTCAGCTCTGATCATTTCATCACTAATATTTGAAAATCTTCTATTCCATTAAATAGCAATTCCTTGCCTCCTTTCCCTCACAGATTTATACTTATTTTTGTAGTGTAAATTATTCCTGGTTGTAAGGCTATATATTTTGCCTTCTGTTATATTGAATTCCAAGATCTTCTCTCATTTATATAGAAGCTACCTTATATTATATTATCCTAATTATGGCTCCTTGGTTCTTGACTCTTTCTGACTGCTTATAATATTTTTTCTTTGAAGTGGAAGCTCTGGAGTTTGGCTACACCATTCTTGGGACTTTTATTTTTTGGGGATTAGTGGATTCCTTTTATTTTCACTTTGCTTTCAGGTTCTAATAGTTTTAATCATTTTCATTATTTCTTGAAATAATTTCTTGAAATATTTCTTGAAATTTAGTATTTAGACTTTAAGAAAATTATTCCAATTTATGGACCTGATGATTCTTAAATTATCTCTCCTTAACCTGTTTCCATGGTCAGTTGTTTTTGATAGCAGATATCTTAAGTTTTCATCTTTTTTTTTCAAACTTTAAATTTTGTTTTAGTATTTACTTTTGTCTCATGGAGTCATTGATTTGTGTTTGGTCTATTGTAATTTTTAGGGACTTGTCTCTGGACTTATAAAAATTTTTTATAGTGATTGGTCTTGCTTGGTCTTGATCTGGGACATCAAGGTTGCTTTGTTGACCCCTACCACCCTGGGTGTATCTACCACAAAAGACCTAGTTGGTTTTAGCTGCTGCCCTTGATCTTTAAAGCTTAGAGCCCTGGATCTTCAGGGATTTCTATGGTATCTCTGGACAGAGTACTTGGGACCTCAGAGGCTCTGGGTCCAGGGTGTCCTAGTTTGTGTGCTGTTGTGTCCATAGGTCCAAAACACTATGGACTAAGGTCCACACTAAGGATTTCCAACCCCATTGGGCCTTTCTCCACTCTTTTTGCTTCTGGATACAGAACCTTGCAAACTGCAGGTGATTTTGGTCCATCTTTTGTTTTACTGGGGGATTTCTGGCTTTATTCTGGCTCCCTTTCCTTCTGTCTGTGGGTAAAGTGACTTTTTGTCCATTTCTGGGTGGAGGAAGTAATTTACTCCTCATAGTATCTGGTACTATTCTTAGGTTTTTGCTAGAGTAGGTTTGTAGGAGGTGGGCTGTCTGTCTCTGTGCAGGCAGCCATCTTTGGCTTTGTTGGTTTATTTAAGTTCTCTTTTAGGGACTCTTTGCACAAAGGAACCTCTTTGTTCAAGAACAGATTTTGGGTGATGATGATAATAATGATAATGATAATAATAATAATAGTAATAACAACAACAACAGAATTTATATAATATTTTAAGGTTTGCAAAACAATTTTAAAACATCTAATTTGATCCTCACAACACCCCTGAGAGGTAGGTGCTATTATTATCCCCATTTTCAGATGGGGAAACTTAAGACAGATAGAGGTTAAGTGACTTGACCGGGATCACAACAGCTAGGCAGTAACTGATGCTAGATTTGAACTCCAGTCTTCCTGACTTCAAGAGAACATTAGGATAATTATGAGTGGGTCAGGTTCAGGCTCAGCTCTTTTGGGCCCTTCATGGAGGCCATAGCCTTTAATTCAGTTTTCAATGTTTTATGTATCATGGACCCCTTGGACAGTCTGGTAAAGCTTGTGGATTCCATCTCATTATAATGCTTTAAAATGCACAAAATAAAATACATAGGACTGAAAAGGAAACCAATTATATTAAACTGCAATTGTCAAAATATTTAAAAAAAACCAAATTAATGTTCCCCAGTTAAGAACCCTTGCTTTAGTTAAATAGACCAATCAAAATAATAAAAAAACCCATAGTAATAATGACAATCATTAGCATTTATAGAGTACTTTAAGGTTTAGAATATACTTTACATATGTTATTTCCTTTGATCCTCACAAGAACTATGTGAGATAGGTACTGTTATTATCCCCATATTACAGATGAGGAAACTGAGGCTGAGGAAGAGGAAGTGACTTATCCAGGGTCCCACAGCTGAGACAGCATTTGAACCTAGGCCATTTTGATTCCAAGTCCACTGCACTACTTAACTGCCCTGAGGATCAGGCAGTGAACTGGAAAAGTCAATCCACTAGGAGATTTTTGGTAGATAGACCTGGTGACGCATGAGTCATGCCCCCATGGGACATGATGTGGCCATGGGCCTGTATGTTTGTGGTGGTCTTGAGTAGTTGTGTGGGGCTCATTTTTTCGTCATCCCCTTAACTGACAGAGTAGGTAGGCCTGAAAGACTTGTCCTCTAACTCAAGCTGGCAGCTTCATTGATTTTTGGTCGTGTCTTTTGGACAGGGTAGAAGGTAAAGGAGGGCCTGAAGAGGTTAGTCCAAAGTCACTGCTGGTTCTGGAAGGATGGTGGCCAAAGACCACTTGTTTACTGTAGGAAAGCACAATCAATTAATTAATAATCATTTCTTAAGCACATACTATGTGCCAGGTGGTGTGCTAAGCCCTGGCTTAGCACAGTCAACACAGAGTCCCTGCATTCAAGGGGCTCACAATCTATTGGGAGAGACAAGAGGCAAACATTTATAAAATATATACAGAGCAAACTATGTACAGGATAAATAGGAAATTATTAAGAAAGGGAAGGCACTAGAATTCAGAGGTGTTAAGGAAGGCTTCCTGTAGAAGGTGGGATGTTAGTTTGTACTTAAAAGAAGCCAGAGTTGAGGAGGGGAGAGCATTCCAGGCACAGGATCCCTTGAGAGAGAATGCCCAGAGCTAAGAGATGAGTCTAGTTTGTGGAATAATTAGGAGGCCAGTATCATTGGATCAAAGAGTAGGTGTCGGGGAGTAAGGTGTAAGAAGAGTGGAAGGGTAGGAGGGATTTGGGTTATAAAGGACTTTGGATGCTAAACAAAGCATTTTGTGCTTGTTCCTGGAGGCAATAGGAAGCCATCATAGTTTATTGAGTAGGAGAGTGACATAGTTAAACCTGTACTTTTTAGGAAAGTTAACTGTAATGGTTGAATGGAGGATGGATTGGAGTGGGGAGAGACCTGAGGCAGGCAGACCCACCAACAGGCTATTGTAATAATCCACGTGATAGGTGATGAAGGCCTACACTAGAGGGATGGTATTTTCATAGGCTGTCAATGAGGAGGGTCTTTAGAAAATAGAATGTCAGCTAGAAGGGCCCTTAGAGTAGAGAAGGTCAGAATTGGGAGATTTAGAATGTAGGAAGTCAGGCATTGGGCAGAGTCTTGGAGAGCGGCTTTTAGAACATTCATTTCACATTCAGTGAGGAAACATACTAAAGGGAGTGAAATGACTACACACTGTAGAGCTCGAACTGCAATTTTAGTTTTCTGACTCCTAATCCCTTGCTAACTATTCTTTAACTATTACATCTTTTGGGTCTCCTTAAGGTCAAATTTACTGCCTAAATGCCAAGTCACCCAGAAAGCTTTATGTGTTGAGCATCATGAATATTCATGTAGTTACCATAAGGATAGGATACTCAGCCCAGTTGTATAGGAATGTTCTATCTTGGTCCAGGATGGTAAGGGAATTAGGGATGGGAAACAAGTGGGATGGAAAAAAAATCTATTTGATATGAAGTTGTATGAAATAGGGGAGACTAAATCATAATCATACTAAGATGGCATCAGCTGGGGTGTTGCTTAAGGAAATGCAATTGTCAACATTCAGTGCATGCCTTGGAAAGCCAAGGTATGCTAATTTTGCAGGTGCCAAGAGAAAACAAGAAGCAGTCCCTGCTTTTGTTAATGGCCTTTTGTATCGTTTGAAACAGGTGCCAACAGCAAAGATATCAGCATGGTAGATGGCTCACTTCAACCAGCCTTTGAACCCAACACCTTGGTGTACAAATGCAACCTCCAAAAGGGAGCCCGATTGGCTGCAGAGATCCCCCAAAACACAAGGGTCAATGTTTTTGGGTTAAATTCAGGAACTTCATACCAGGTCACTGTTCTATCTCAAGCAGCTAATGAGACTGAAGGAGACCCTCAAAAGAGAATCTTCAAGACAAGTAAGTTTAATTCCTCTAGATTAATTCGTGCAGAAGCAGACAGACATAGGGATGAGGAGGACCAGAACTCATGTTAGGTTTCCAAAATGCCCACATGTAATCAATTTTTGATTCTCGTTTATTCTATACAGAGCTCTCATGTGTACACATGCCTCTTCTTACCACCACCCCCACTCAGGTCTGACCTTTTCTCTTCTCTACTGATGCAGCCACCACCCTACTTCAGGCTCAGTATCTTTCACTTGGACTATTGCAATAACCTCTTAGTTGAACTCTTGACTTCCTGTCTCTTTTTTCTACAATATTTCTTCTACATAGCTGCTCAAATAATTTTCAATAATAATAAATGACATTTACATAATGCTTTAAGGTTTGTTAGGATCACTTGACATATTGTTGTTGTTGAGTTGTTTTCAGTTCTGTCTGACTCTTCATGACCCCGTTTGGAGTTTTCTTGGGAAAGATACTGTGTTGATTTGCCATTTACTTTTCCAGATCATTTTACATGTGAGGAACTGAGGCAAACAGGGTTAAGTGACTTGCCCAGGGTCACACAGCTAGTAAGTGTCTGAGACTGGGTTTGAACTCAGGTCCTTCTGATTCTAGTGCGAGCACTCTATCCACTGAGCCAACTAGCTGCCCCATTGACATATAGCATCTCATTTGATTCTCACAACAACCCTGGGAAACAGATGCTATTATTATCCACCTTTTAAAGATGAAGAAACTGAGATGTTAAGTGACTTGTCCAGGGTCAAACAACTAGGAAGTATCTTAAGGCTGGATTTGAACTTAGGTCTTCCTGATACTATGGCCAGTTCTCTAGTCACTGGACCACCTCACTGCCTAGGTGGGATGCTTTTTAGCATGCATTCCTAGAAGAGAAGCATTTTTTGGTATTCTTAGTTATTAATGTTCTTTTCCTCTTCAAATTATCATGGTGGCAGCAGAGCACAGTGGAGGGAATACCTGCTCCAAGTCAGAGGACTTGATTCACATCTCATGCATTAAGCTTATGACCCATGTGACCTTGGGCAAGTCACTCCACCTACTTTAGACTCCATTTCCTCAACCATAAAATGAAGGAATTTTACTCATATTTCCATGATCCCTTCCAGCTCCAAATTTATGATCCAATTCTCATATATTTATTTTTATTATGTTTCCAAAGTGAAATTGTTGAGTTCTAGAGGTTTAGGGATGCTGGGACCCCAAAATCATGACACGCAGGTCCTGCCTGAATGAATTTGACTCAAGCCTTCTTTCAGCCAAAGACCAGGTTTATTAAAGATCCACCATATTGATCAGACTCTTAAGGAATCTGAACATCTGCAAGCTGTCGGCTAGATTATAAAAATCGGAGCCCTTGGCTAGACCCTTAAAGAATCTGAGCCCCTTAATGGATACAAGATGGACCTTATATACAGAAAGACTGGCAGAAGGATCTAGGGAGGATCTTGATGGGAGTGACCAATAGGCTGGGGTGAGCAGAAGGCCCGGGACCTGGACCACAAGGCCAAGGGAGAATGGAGTCTAGATAGAATTAAGGGTGGGAAGTGGCCTGGGGCCATAAGCAGGTTTAGGCTAGGTTAAGGGTAACCAAGAATTGGGAGATTGGGCATAGGGGATAATGAAAGGCCAGTTGATAGGACTGATAGGGTTATAGCCTCAGGCGAAAGCCAGAGACTTCCTAGATTTAGTAGGAGAATTCAAGGAGAGTCCTTAGACAAATGGGATCCAAATTCTTTTTGGGGTGAGGGGCAAAGGTCTTGGCTTGGGTCTGTACACCATCAAAATGTTAATTCTTTGTGAGCAGGGACCATTCTTACATTTTACAGATGGGGAAACTAAGGCTTAGCCATATGAAATGACTTGTCCAGGGTCAAACAGCTAGTAAGTATCAGAAAAGGAAATTGAGCCCATGATTTTGACTTTCTTTGTATCCTAGTGCTTAACATTGGTGCCAGGTACATAGTAAGCAATTAATAAATGCTTGTAGAATGATGATGGAACATAGGTTTTCAGGCTTCAAATCTCATGCTCTTTCCCTCTTTGTGTTAGACTGGATTCATGCGCTGAGGAAGAATGGATCTTTCACATTTCCTGCTGGTCACGTGGCTAATTTTTTTACATTTCCATTTTCAACAGATTCTAGTCAAGTGGTTAACATCCAAGTTGAGGAAGTCAGTGACACAGAAGTGAAATTGGCTTGGGAGAACAGTGATAACTCATCGTCCAGCTACACATATAGAATACACGTTGCTGCCGATGGCCATTCCTTTGACCAGAATTCTAATAATACCTATGTTGCCATCAGAGGGCTCAATTCTAGCACATTATATAACTTTACAGTATATCCTAAAAGAAACCAAGATCCTGAAGGCCAGCCAGCCTTTGCTCAGACTTACACAGGTAAGTCCTCTGTCCAATGGCTAGCGTCTCTATGTTCCTGTTGTTGAACATGTCAATACTGAATATGAAAACAAAAGCAAGAGTCTAAAAGTTTAGGCCCAAAGCTTGAACTCTGACCTAGAGAGAGGATGCTCCTCAGGGAATCTGCACCCTTTGCTGGAAGAATTCTGGTCTAGTTGGTCCTCTGTTTTTTGCATTACCCTTTTTTTTTTTTTTTTTGGCTCTATCTTCTTATTTACCTGATGTGTAGAAAACGGATAGGCTGGCCCCCATTCTGAAGAAAATCCACTCATTTGAGACAGTTAGTTCACAAAAATTCAGTTCATGCAAAGTAACATGTTGTTTGTTAAATTGAATTCAATAAACATTTATTAAGTGCCTGTTCTGCGCAAGGCACTGTCCTTGGTGCTGGATAAACAAAGGCAAAAATGAAAGTGTCTTAGCCTTCACGGGGCCAATGATCTACTGGAATTTATATGTTTGAAATGAAGCAAATCTGTAACGCTGTCAAGGTTGAAATTTTTTTTTTTGTCTTTGTGCCTTCAGTGGGCTCAATGCCTGATCCATAGTTGGGGCTCAGTAAATGCTTATTAGATTGAGTCAAATGTAGAAGTGGAATTTTCTTGTTAGGAGTTGTTTCTATGCCTCGAGAAGTCTAGATTGTACCTGGTTGTTTATGGCCCAAATTCCATCCCCCTCCCTCTTATGTATTCACTTCTGGGCACCTTTTAGGAAGGGCATTGGTAGCTGGAGATTTTCCAGACTGGGATGATTAGGATAGTGAAGGGACCTTGAGTTCCTCCCATCTGAAGGCTGCTTGAAGGAACTGGGATTGTTTAGCCTCTAAAAGAGAAGATTTAGAGGGAGCACGACAGCTACTTTCCAAGATTTGAAGGGCTGATATGTGAAAGAATAAAGAGATTTGGTCTTCTTGGCTCCAGAAGAAAGAATTAGGAGCAGTGGTTGGAGTTGCAAAGAGAGAAGTTTAGGCTTGATATCAAGAAAGCCTTTATTATAACTAATGATTAATGAGGATGATGAGAAATTGGAACTCCACAAAAAGAGTGAAGTGCTCATAATAAGGATGCTGATGGTGGTAGTGATAAGAGCTATCCAAAAGGGGAATGGGATGCCTAGAATAGTTGTGGGTTTCCCATCCTCGGAGGGCTTTGAGCAGAGACTGGGTGATCACTTGGCAATATGTTGTAGGGGAGGGAATCTCATTGTGGTATATAGATTGAGCCTCTCGGGTCCCCTCCATTCTGAGATTCTGGAATGTGGGAGTTCATCTGGTTCCAGTGTTAGGTGTTCATATATACCCACATCATGTTCCTCAGACCAGCGGTCAGGCAGGGAGAAGTGTATGGAGTTCCAGCCTGGGCAACCTGAGCTGTCCCCTGACTCTCTGTGACCTATGGCCCCTTTCTTCTGCTCACAGCACCCCATCCAGTCTCTGACTTTCGAGTACAGGATTTCACCACCACCAGCATCAGCTTAGCTTGGAACAGTGAAGCCTCCTCTTTCAGGATCCTTGTTCAAGAACTCACGAATCATTCACTCCCCAGAAATGAGACACACCAAGAAAAACAGCTTTTAGTTACAGGCTTAACACCCGGGACACCCTATTGTTTTGAAATATTTCCTCAAGCACCGGATGGAAGGGAAGGACTCTCACGAAAACTGGTACAAACAACTGGTGAGTGTTAAAGAATCTTTTTACTTATTGTTTTATTTCTTTATTAAGACATAGCTGTGCTTAATACTTAAATGCTTCCAGGATACAAGATTTCATTGTTGCAGGTGCTCCCCTCTACCACTGTAGTGCCTCCCAGGCCTTAGTAAACAATCTTTAGGAACTGCTTGTTCTTTGGAAAAAAATGTTCTGCCTAGTGGCTGGTTTCCCAGTGACTGCTTTCTACGAGAGTAAGCTCGGCAGGTCTTCAGAGGGTAGTTACGGGACGTGTCCTTGGTTCCAGACTCAAAGACTTTGAAGTTTGACATGACCTGCCAGAGCTCATTGTATTTCCTTCAGAGCCTCCAAGAACCCAGAATCATCTTTGGGCCACGATGAGACAGTGGAGGAATGCCTTTGTAGAGAAGATTTGTTAACAGAGGTTCCTCAGAAGAGGTTTTATTGTAGCAAGAATAATTGAAATCACAGAAGCAGTCATATAGGGGAGTTACTACAGTAGGGGAGCCAGCATGGAAGTCAGAAAGAGGCAGGATCAAGTTCTGCCTATGACAGAACTCTTGGTTGGCTGAGGGGATGATATTTGTAGTAATTTTTTTCCCCTTTATGTTAGTCTCTGCACTAATTTTTACTCTTCCTCATTTCCCTTTAAATAGAGCCGAGTATTGTTTCAGACATTGAAGTTGTAAGTGTTAACACAACTGCGATACACTTAAAATGGCAGAACAGGGACAATGCGTCCCTAGGGTATCGTTATCATCTGCTGGTAGAAACAGATGGATCCTGGGTCTTTAACTCCACAATCGGCTTCCTTAATGAGACCATCGGAGACCTAGTACCGGGTACACGCTATAATGTTACCATCTATCCAGAAGTAGGAAATGGGACGAAAGGGAGTCCAGCGTCGAAAGTTGTATATACAAGTGAGTTTCTCAGATTATCTTTTCTCACAAATACCTTACTCGAGAATGTCATTTTCTTGGGAGGACAAAAATTAGGTTGGCTAAATTAGATTTCAACTGGATGGAAGAAGACTGCATTTTCAATTCTGCAAACATTCATTAACCGGTAGGTGCTGGGCCCTTGGGATATAAAGACAAAGGTGTTCCTGCCTTCAATGAGCTTACATACTTCTTTTCCTGGGCATGGAATACAACATCTACTCAAGGTATAATCCTAGGAAAATTGAAGGGGGAAGCTATTAACAATTGGGGTTCAAGATGGAGGGGTCAGGGAAGCCTTCATGAGCAGTGGACACTTGAGCTGAATCTTGAAGGAAAACATGAATTCTGAGAGGAAGCGATGAAGACTTCAGGCAGTGTATTCTAGTCATGGGTGGGCTCAGGGCTAGCAACAGCCTGTGTAACTGTGTGCAGTGAGGAGGACTAGGAAGTACAATCAGAAAGGTGGCTAGGAATCAGGTAGTAGAAGTCCTTAAAAGCTAGAATGAGGAGGTGACAGTTTATCTTAGAGGTAATGGGGAGCCAAGGAAAGTCTTTCAGGCAGGGAGTGACATGGGTAGGCCTGGGCCTTAGGAGATGGTTTGGGGCCATATCACACACACACACATATATATATATATCCCTGCTGCTGGAGAGGCTGAAGCAGGTCCATCTCTAGAGTTTGGGAGTTCCAAACTTCAGCAGGGTGAAAGCTGAGGAGAGAGTGCAAGCAAAAAGACCAGTAAGGAGATGCTTATGGTTGTCTAGAAAGTTAGTGATGTGGGTCTGAACTAGGGTGGAAACCAGGTGAATAGAGAGACAGGAGATGGATGAGAGATAGGGTAGAGATTTGACACCTGATTTGACATGAGGGGTGAGGGAGAAAGAAAAATCAAGAGTGATTGAAGTTTCAAACCTGGATGGCTGAGAGAATGTTGGGGCCCATAATGGAAATAGGAAATTTTGGCAAAGAGCTTGCTTTTTTTTTGGAGGGAGAGGGTGAAGATGATGATTTTCATCTTCAACATGTTGAAATTCTGTGGGACATCCAGCAGAAGCTATTTGGGAGGAAGCTGGTGGTATGATACTGGAGTCCTGGAAAGAGATTAGGGCTGCCATGTGCCATGAGATGACACTTGCATCTATAGAAGTAGATGTGGAGGGCATTGGGGTGAGAGAGGGGAGAGATAGTAGAGAGAGAATAGAAGAGAGCCTAGGCTGGCTCTCTGAGGGATGTCCATGCTAAGGTGTAGGAGATGGCTGGCGATCTAGTAGAGGCAATGAGAAGGAGCAGTCAGGGAGGGAGGAGGAGAATCAGGAGGCATGCCAAGGGGGGAAGGGATATCCAGGAGGAGACTTGATCACTGGTACAAACACTTTAGGGAGACTAAATAGAATGAGGACTGAGCAAATGCCATTGGATCTGGCAGTTGAGAGATCATTGGTCACCTCCAGAAAGCTGATTCATGAGAGGGATGGGAGGTGGGGGATGCAGGTTGCAGAGGCTTGAGAAGTGAGTGAGGGGTTAAGAAAGTGGGAAAAAACCAAACACGAGTATGTGATTCTGTAATTCCAGTTAACTAAGTACCGTTTATTTGTCAAGGACCTAGCCCAGTGTCTACCATCAATATTTCAAGCATCAGTACCACAGAAGTAACCTTAAGCTGGCAAGAAACTGACAGTGCCTCCACTGGCTACACCTATCTCATCATTCTTGTTGAGGGAGGGTCCGTCAGCCCGGTATCAACATCCATCAACCAAACACTGACGGTCAGAAATGCCACAATCACAGACCTGAGCCCCGGCACTTTTTATGAAGTCAGAATCTATTCCCAAGTAGGAGAGGATGCTCTTCAAGGAGAACCTGGTCACACATCCTTCTGTACAGGTGAGTTGTTCCAGACGATCTCCTTTAAATTTAATCTTGGTCTGCTTCACCATGGCCATGTCTTCCTTGTTGACTTGGTCCATTTGGGTAGTCATTCCCACTTTGTCTTCAGAAAATCCTACATCCTGTGTATACTTCCTTCCCTCCTCTGCCTTACTTTAGGTGCCACCTGGGGGAGAAAAACTTGAAAACTCTGCATTGGTGGCTTTAAGTCTGTCACAGATATTTTATTAATAATAATGTACATACATATAGACCTATGTATATACACACAATGTAAAAATAAAGATTTCCAAGCATTCAGCCTTATTTTCCTGTTGTTACAGCTTTTAGCTGTTGTAAATTATTTTGCATCTTCTGTCTATCTGTCCATCTATCTATCCATCCATCCATCCATCCATCCATCCATCCATCCATCCATCTATCTATCTATCCATCTCTCTGCCTGTTATATCCCCTCTTGGGGAATATCAATCCCTTGAGGGCAGAGACTCTTTTGTTACTCTTTCTATATCCTGAGCACCTAGCTCTGTGCCTGGCATGTGGTAGGCATTTCATATGTTTGTTGAATTGATTTATTGTAGAGTTGGGGCTGTCTTGCCTTGTTAGTTGCATGATAATCACTCAGTAAGCCTTTATCAGTCACTTCCTACGTGCCAAATACTGGGCTAGGGAAATGAGAAGAAAGAGAGAGCACATACATGCTACATGCAATGTAGATACAAGGTAATTTGAGAATGGGAGGCATCAGCAGCTGGAGGGACTGGGAATGACCTGGAGAAAATGGTACTTGAGCTGAAGCTCGAAGAAAGTCAGAGAGTCTTAAGAAGCAATGGTGAGGAGACAGGGCATTTGTGTCTTGGGGGACAGTCCATGTAAGGGCATGGAGATGAGAAGTGGTATGTGATGCTTTAAAAAACAAAAAGCCCCAAACCTATGGGTTTTGGTTTTTCTGTTCCCGTTTTCCTCCATCTTTTCTATTTTGTCTTTTTAAAATAGTTCCTAGTTTTATTAATTGTTTTCTTTCAATTTTGTTAATTTTTCTTTGATTTCCAAGATATTTATTTTGTTGTTTAAGTTTTTAAAAATTTATTGGTTTTTTAGATATTTTTGTTATACTTTCAATTTGTTGATCTTTCTTTCTTTCTTTCTTTTTTTTTTTTTTTTTGCTATGCAATGGGGCTAAGTGACTTGCCCAGGGTCACACAACTAGTAAGTGTTATGTGTCTGAGGTCAGATTTGAGCTCAGGTCCTCCTGAATTCAAGGCCGGTGCTCTATCCACTGCGCCACCTAGCTGCCCCTTGTTTTTTCTTTTTAAGAAAATAGTATTTTATTTTTTTTCCAATTACAAGTAAAGACAATTTTTAACATTCATTTAAAAAAAATGTTGAGTTCCAAATTATCACCCTCTCTCCCTTCCCTTCCCCTCCCTAAGAGATAGAATTTGAATCAAAGTCCTCTGTCTTCCAAGCCAGGACTTATTCCCGGTACCATGTTGCCTTCTCTGAAGTCATAGCAATTGTATGTTCTCTGGTTTTCCAGTTGCTATCAGCTAGTGGTGGTTGTAGTCTTATCATAGGATAGTCCTGTTCGCCTGTGTCCTGGTGTCAGAACACAGCTGCAGTTTTCAGTTCTGGGGCCATGGTTTAGGAAAAATATCAATAAGTCACATAGCACACCCAAAAGGAACAATGAGGGATAATGAGAGTACTGGAGACCATGCAATGTACGTTTTGGTTGAAGGAATTGGCAGCAGTTGGCCTTGAGAAGAGAAGGCCCAGGGATCTTTGAAAGCTCTCTAAGTATTTCATGTAGAAGTGGGATCAGACTAATTTCTTGTTCATCCCAGAAAAAAGAACTAGCAACAAGGGGTAGAAGTTGTAGAGATACAGGTTTTGGCTCAACCTGAGCAAAAATGTCCTTAAAAACCGAGAACTTCCTTAAAGTCAAAGGGGATGCCTTGGGAGGGATTGAATTTCAGGTTACTCGAGGTCTTCAGGAAAATACTGGATGACCATTTGTCATGGATGTTACTGAAAGGATTCCTGTCCAGGTTGGAGTAGATGGTTCCTTCTTTCTCTCTGATTCTGTGGTAGACCAAGCAATTGTTATTCATATTTCTCCGTCTTAGAGTTCGAAATGAAAAGATTCAACGTTTTCACTTTTCTATCTAGATGCTGCATCTGTGGCTTTCCTTGAGTGCAATCCAGTGCCCAAACAATCGACCCTCACTTTAAGATGGCCCTGCCCCCCTGGCATGAACAATGGCTTCAGTCTGACTGTCCATAGTGGGGAGTGGAGCCAGGAAATAAGTCTTCCACCCTGCAATTCAACGGATGTGACTGATGACTTTAATGTGACACATTTAAATTATTCTACTGCCTACAGCATCAGCCTCACCACCCTGTCCTGTGGGAAAAAGAGTTTCCCCATACAGAATGTTTCCCAAACTAGTATCACAGGTAGGTTGTAGAGATATTTTGGTGGACATCTATTTATTTCCTCAAATCTGAAAAAAAAGTCAGTGGTTATAGTTTGCTAAGCTGTTGTAGTTATGCTCTTCTCCCAACCACACCCTTTCTCCTTGCTCATCCCACCTCATCTGCCCAACTTTATTTCTCTCTTGTGTTTCAAAAAACCTGACAGTGTCATTTGAAGGAATCAAGGATTAGTGTGATGATAATACTGTGGGAAGTCAACCTTCTATAAAATGTAGATATACAGAGAGTGACCCTTGACAGTTTACTTGTCTGGGGCATAAGTGCTTTACTATTCTAAGAAAAATAGTCTGAGCTGCCTGAATAAAGCAGTTGCTGATTTGCATATGACAGGATAGTTACTAATTACATATGGCTTACAGCTAGAGATAAGAAGAAGAAGGAGTGGGGAGAATATATTTTACTTTCTACTCCAACTTGCTGAGAAGAAGAGAGAAGAAAAGGCAAGATATTTCTTTATATCATACCTGAGAGGTAGAAAAGAAGGATCCAGCCAAAGGAGAAAAGAGTGCTGACTCTTTTACCAACATTAGGGTAAGGGTTGTTGTCTTTTCCTAGAAGGGCCCGATATTATTTCAGGTGAAGACATCAGCTAAGCCTGAAGCTGGAAGTGATGGATACTATAGTTGCTGTCAAGCAAGCTCAGCTGAATCAGTTTAGAAGTAGAGCATCAGAGAAACAGCCCAATAGATTAATTCCTATAGTTGAAATGCTGTGACTAGTGAAGTATTAACCTAGCACAGCATAGAACAACTCAGTTTAACAGCAGAAGCTTTGTTCACATAGAAGCCACGATCATCAAGGAACTTTTATGAACGGTTCCTAAAACAGAAGGAAGATGTAGAAATCTACAATTCCTGAGTTGTGAGTTACCCTGATCACATGCATTCCTTATGCATGTGCCTTTTTGCCCTGAGACTTTAAGTGTGTGCCTATTCTCCTCAGGTATACTTTGTACATTGGAGAGGTGTGATTTGAATATATGGGTAGAATGTTTTAAAAATATTTTATATTTGCTTATCATTTTCAGTAAATGTTTTGTTTAATGTTAATTGGCATCCCCTAATTTATTAGTGAGAAATACAGCAATGGGGGCTCATGGCCCATAGTGTCAGTAGCAATAGTTATCCACAAGGGTTATCCCCTTGTCTCTGACAGAATTGATTGTAGTAGCTGCCCTTCTTCTGGGGAAACGTCACCTGACAGCATAGAGTTATTGCAGGGAGTTACAGCTTTGGGGTGGGAGGATGTTTGGCAGTGACAGTGTATGGGAAAAGAGAAAAGCTGCAGAAGAATATTAGGGCAGCACCTATCCCTTGAACTAGGACATTAGCTGACACTTACCTTTGAATAAGCTGACCACTTGTTGGACAGGTTATGGAAGGGAATGGGTTGGAAATGCTATGATTCCGTGATGAGACAGCAACCCCTTGTATGCAAATTTTCAGGTGCCATTGATCACCTTCTAAAGTCAAATGTTGCTGCATCTTTGTTTTCCATGATATTAACGTAGAGGTGATTTTTATTGTTTTCAGACCCCCCTCCTCCAGATGGATTGCCAAATATTTTCCCCATCAGCCACAACTCATTGAAAGTAAAATTCGGCAAGTTTGAGGCAAGCCATGGACCAATAACAGCCTATGCGGTCATCCTTACCACGGATGGAAGTAAGGAACTCGCACTGTGCCAAATGGCCACTATACAGAGCAATAATAATGATGATGATGATAGCTGACATTTGTATAACTCTTACTATGTGCCAGGCACTGTGCTAAATGCTTCACAATGATCATTTCATTTCATCTTCACAACAACTCTGGGAGGTGGGTGCTATTATTGTCTCTGTTTTACTGATGAGGAAACTGAGGCCACGAGAGATGATATGACTTGCCCAGAGTCATACAACTAGTGTCTGCTGCTACATTTGAACTTGGGTCTTCTTGACTCTAAACTGGTACTCTATCCATTGCACACTACCTAACTGCCCCCTAAAGTATAGATTTAGAGCTGGCAGGGACCTTGGGAAGCTATCTGGTCCAACCCTCTCATTTTTACAAATGAAGGAACTAATACCTGGTGAGGTTAAGTGTCTTACCTAGGATTACACGGTCATTATATGTCACAGGTAGGCTTTGAACCTAGGTCTTACTGATTTTAAACCCAGCTCTTTATACATTATGCCATGACTTATAATAAAAAAAAGTGGGAGAACAAGTTCAGTAAAACTAACCAGCACACTGAAGAAGTCTGATGTAATATGCGACATTCCCCATGACCAAGATTTGCCATATTGCCACGGTGATTTTGACTGAGTCCTTCCCTCATCCTACACCTAGTCGTCTGCCCATTTGAATTCAAATTAGAAAATGAGACAGATCTCTCATCTGTCTCCGCTCTTATGAATCTATTGCCTTTTTGAAGGTTTCATTTGTGTGTCTGCTACTTAGGTGGTAACAAGTCTTCTGCTGACTTTTTGAAATATACCTATGATGATTTCAAGAAAGGAACCTCGAAGACCTACGTGACTTACCTCATGTCGATGAAAGAGGAAAGAGCTGCCTCAGCTTTGTCTGATGTCTTGAAGTATGAGGTCATTGTAGGGAATGAATCTACCACAGATGGCTATTACAATGGGAAATTGGAACCCCTCAGTTCCTATCGGTAATTCCATTCCATTCCATGCACGTTTACTAAATGTCCACTATGTCCTAGGCACTGGACATACAAAGACAACATTAAAACAGTCCCTGCCCCATAGGAGCTTCTATTCCCTGGTGGCCGGGGAGGGGGTCACGGGGTGGGGTGGCTGGGGGAGATAGTGACACGTAGAAGGCTGAGTCAATGTCTGGCAGTCTGAAGTGCGAGGGTATGAACAACCAGGGGTATCCAGAAAGGCCTTGGGCTGAGTTGGGAAGAAAGCTAGGAAGCCTTTTTCTTTTCTTTTTTTCTTAATTTGATTTATCAACAATCATTTCCATAAGTTTTTGAGGTTTAAATTTTTCTCCCCCTCTCTCCTCCCCTCCCCAAGACAGTGCACAATCTGATATAAGCTATACATATACATTCCTATTAAACATATTTTCACATTAGTCATGTTGTAAGGAAGAATTAGAACCAATAGGAGGAACCATCAGAACAAAACAGAAGAAAAAAAATAGCAAATAGTATGCTTCGATCTGCATTCAAACTCCATAGTTCTTTCTTTGGATGTGGATAGCATTTTCCGTCATGAGGACTTTGGAGATGTCTTAGATCCTTGCATTGCCGAGAAGGGTTAAGTCTATCAATATTAGTCATCTCACAATGTGGCTGTTACTGTGTACAATGTTCTCCTGGTTCTGTTCCCTACACTCAGCATCAGTCCATGCAAGTCTTTCCAGGTTTTTCTGAAGTCTGCCTGCTCATCATTTCTTATAGCACAATAATATTCCTTTACATTCATATACCATAACATATTCAGCCATTCCCCAATTGATGGGCATCCTCTCAATTTCCTACTCTCTCTCCTCTCCTACTTTCTCAATTGCCACTAGAAAAGAGCTGCTATAAATATTTTTGTACATGTGGGTGTGTTGAGACTTAGGGGTTTAGGGGTGCTGGGACCACAAAATCAGAACACGTGGGTCCTGCCCAAAAGAATTTGACCCAAGCCTTCTTTCAGCCAAAGACAAGGTTTATTAGAACATCTGGCATATTAGCCAGACTCTTGAGAAATCTGAGCATCTATGAGCCATCGGCTAGATTACAAGAATCTGAGCAGTGGCTAGATTTTAAGAATCTGAGCCAGAAGCCTTTTTTTTTTTTTAAATAAAAAATACTTTCTCCCCAATTACATGTTTAAACAGTTTCTAACATTTTTTAAAAGAAGTTTTGAGTTCCAAATTTTTTCCCTCCTTCCCTTCCTTCCTTTCTCACTGAGATGGTAAGTAATCTGATATGGGTGATATATGTGCAATCATGTAAAACATTACCATATTAGTCATTTTGTACAAGAAGACTTGAGCAAGAAAAAGAAAGAAATAAAAGGTAGGAATTCTAAAAGGAGCAGGGGACCAAGGAATGCACATCAGGCAGAGGGGACAGCCTCAATAAAAGCACAGAGGCAGGAGATGAGCAATTCATCTTAGGAAAGAGCAGTAGGTGAGTTTGGCTGTAATGTACTGTGTGTAAAATGGGGGAAGGTGAAATAAATCTGAAAGGGTTGGCTGGAGCCCAACTGGGAAGCCCTGGACGTGCCAGACTGAGGGTGCAAAGGAAAGATAGAGATAGCCAGGATTGTCCAGTGGCTTAGAGAATGCCACCATCCTGCAGGGCTGCCCTTCTCCAGATTTGTTTCCTCTGCTGTGTTAGCTCAGTGGGGTTTTCCTTGCCTGGCATCCCTGTGATTGGATGTTGTCAGGCTTTCAGATGCGTTCTTCTCCCTTCATCGACAGGGCTTGTATTGCTGGCTTCACCAATATCACCTTTGACAGCCTTCACCTCATTAATGGCACAGAGAGCTACGTCTCATTCAGCCTCTATTCAGATGCAGTCTCTTTACCTCAGAATCCAGGTAGGAGGGGCTAAGACAAAACAAAACTCTATTACATTGTGAAAAATTAACAAATTCTGCATTGTATAATTTTTACTTAAAATGTCCACTTATCCATTTAAGAATCCATAGTACATTGTACTCTCTCCTGGGGAGAAGGAATCAGTGTTGTACCATGGAATGAGAACTGATGTTGGAGTCTAAGGTCTTGAATTCAAATCCTGGATCTGTCAGTTGTGTGACCTTGGGCAAATCACTTAACCTCTCTGGGCCTCAGTTTTCTTAACTCTAAAGTGAGAGAGTTGACCTGGACAATCCTTAAGGTCACTTCCAGCTCTAAATGTGTGATTCCCACTTTGGAATGCGTGGGATGCCCCTCTTTCTGCCCACCGAGATTCTACATACATTAGTATTATGCCTCTAGCATTATGGGAATTAAAGAGACCTTAGCCATCTCCTAGGTCAGCCGCTTTTCGTTGTCTCGATGGGGAAGCAGGCCCAGAGTCACAAAAGCAGTAACAGGCAGAACTAGGTTTTGGCCCCAGACTTTCTAACTGGGAAGATGACATTTTTTCCCTACAGCGCTTCCTGGTTTACGATGTTGTCACATCAAACTTGCAAGGCTGGTCACCATATTTCTAATGTGGCCACTAATAATAAGAACTGACATTTGTGATAATGCTCTGAGGTTACACTGCACTTGACAAACATTTTGATCCTCCCCACAGCACCACGAAGCAGGGTGTGGTGCCTGTGTATTATTGTACTCATTTTGTGGATGAGGAAACTGAGGCCCAGAGAGGTTGAGACAGCTTGTCTATAGTGGCAGAGGCAAGACTCAGAGTCATCTGTTGAGTCCAAGCCAGCTTCCTGTTAGCAGTTATGGCTAAATAGCTAAGATAGGGTGCTGGGCCTAGAGTCAAGAAGACCCGAGTTCAAATGTGGCCTCTGACACTAACTGTGTGACTCTGGGCAAGTCACTGAACCTCTTTCTGACTCATATGATTCCTTACTTATATAATGAGGATACTAATAGCACCTACCTCCTAGGGTCATTGTGAAGGTAAAATAGATTAATATCTGTACGACACTTTGAAAACCCTGAAGTTCCATGTCATTGCTAGTTATTGTTTTCATTATCATTAGCTTTTTGGTTTACAAAACACTTTGTATGTGTCTCATTTGTTTCTCATTATGATGTAAGTAATCTAACCTGTTTTATAGATGAGGAAACTGAGGCACAGAGTATTTAAGTGACTTGCTGCAAGGCCACCCAGCTAGCCAGTGATGTTGAACTAGGATTTGAACCCAGATTCTTCCTGACTCCACATCCATCTTTTTGTCCATCACCTGGCAGACCATCCTTTAGTTGCCTTGAGGTATAATGTTGCTGCATCTAAAAAAGACATCTGAGGCCAACCCTAGGATCACAGGATCAGAGATATAGACCCCAAAGGGACTTAGAGCCCACCTCGTCCAGCACGTTCCATTTAGCAGATGAGGAGTGGGGCCCCAGAGAGGTTGACATGGATTGCCCATAGTCTCCCAGGCAGTACCCAGCAGAGGTGGAATTAGAACTCGGCTCCTTTGACTCCAAAGCTTCCAGTGCTCTTTCCATTGTTCCAGCTGGATTTTCTTTTGGGATGCTGCTGGGTGTCCATGTGGGTCTGTGATTTGTGCGTTTGCCCACCACCGTTGGAGTTCCTGTGCTGCTTCTGGAGTCCCATGAGTCATTCTCGGTAGATGATTTTTCTCCCATTTGGTTTTCCTACAGCTGTCATCTGCGGTGCTGTCTTTGGGTGTATCTTTGGTGCTCTGGTAATCGTGGCTGTTGGAGGCTTTATCTTCTGGAGAAGGAAAAGGTGACTCTTATTGATTTGCATGCTTTGTCCAAGCAGTTCACCTCAGCTATCTTAGGCATTGCTGCCTACCCTAGAGATTAGCCCTTCACGCTCCCATCACCACTAGAAGAAGGCCCTTCCAGCTCTGTCGCTAGCAAAGGCCTAGAAGCCAGGCTCTGTCTTTTTGCCAAGGCCCAGGTTATCAGTGACCCCATCGGTCACATTTTCAAAGGCGCTCTCTCATCTCCTGCTTGGGGAACCCTCAGAGAGTCCTGTGCCGAGGGCACATAGGAATGGTAAGCAATAGTTGGGAGAGAGGAATCAGAGGAACTGAATTTGCCAAGTTGTGACTACCTGGGTACTTTGGATGCAGGACTCACAGATATTTCATTCTATGAGTGTCACAGAAAAAAATCATTACAGATTTCTCAGCTGAGGAGTTACATAGCCCCATGGAGGGAGGGCCAGCTTTGGAGTGAAGGAAGCTTTGGGTTCAGGTACTGCTCCCACACATACTGGCTTTTTGACCCTAGACGAGTCACTAAACTTTTCAGTACTCTAGGCAGCTTTCTAGGACTGTGAGTTACAGATGAGTTGCCAACCTGCAGTGGTGGACAGAGTGTTCCCCTGGGAGTTCCTTAGGTCCAGAGTGCGGGAATCCTGGGTTTTGTTTTTGTTTTGTTAGCATAAATAGAAAGGCATTTTTTCAGGCTTTGGATTTTACATCATCTTAGGTACAACCAGGTATGAAATCTGTCCCCTGAACTGACCCATTGACTGGGCGGGCACAGTGTCTATTGAAACTGTTTTTGTCCTTCTGAGGGATTTTGATTCTTTGTTAGTCATCTCTTAATTATGTTATTACTCCTTTAGAATTCACAGACTTGCCAGGCTTTGCCAAGGTTCTACCTCACATCCCTTACGGGAATGCACGCCCACAGGGCAACTAGCTATATTCAAATATAGAAAAGAGAGAGGAAACTTTTCTGCATTGAGTTACTTTGTGTGTGTATTTAAGTAACCGGTCTCTTTTTTCTTTGAAAACAGGAAAGATGCAAAGAATAGTGATGTGTCCTTTTCTCAAATTAAGTGAGTTTATACAAAGTTTTATTCTTTAAATCTAAGAGCACTATGAGTCCCTCAGCAGCACCCCATTGGTTCGCACATGTGGCTGTGGTCTTTTGAAGGACCATTTCAGTATATTATTTTATATTTCAGCACTGAGAAATTTCCTTTTCACAAAGCTAATGAAGTTAGGGAAGAAAGCATTTTAGTTTTGATGGGGAGAGAGCCAGACTTGGAATGAAGGAGGCCTGAATCTATGGTCTGCCATTGAGACAGACTAGCTCTGTGACCCTGGGCAAGTCACTTAACTTCTTATTGTCTAATGTACCTTTGAGCTGCAGATAAACAACTTGTCTCTATCAAGGAAGAGAGTTTCTATTCTAGGAGTTTCCTACAGTTCCCTGTGATGAAATCATAGATGTGTGTCACCCTTGCCACCAACCATCCCCTCCCCCCAACAACAAAATGAAGCCCCATTTCTGGCCTTGGTCTGTGGACCAATGTGGGTTTTGTGGCAGTGTCACATTGGCATCTGAGAGGAGGCAATGTAAGGCAGTGGAGAGAGTCTTTGGGCAACAGGAGACTTGGATTCTAGCCCTGACTCTGCTGGGTGGCTCTGGGTGAGTCACTTACCTCTCTGGGCTTGTGTTCTCATGTGTCCTATAAGAGGGTTGGATTAGATCATCTCTCAGGTCCTTCCTTTGATGAAAGTATCAACTTTTCTACCTAACGAGTAGATTCATTATGTGCTCCCCTTCGCCACAAGGAAAACAGCCAGGCCAGAATGTCCAGAGTCCATGGTGCTCAACGTGGAATGGGTTTTGGGCTGTTAGACCTTGAACTTAAAGGTGACTTTTTCTTTTGTCAGTTAGGAGTCAGTTGGTAAGAAGCCTGTGTCAATTGGGAGATAGAAGAGATTCGAATCAAGTGGGGGAGCTGGGACTTTCTTCTTAGGGTCATGGCTTCCTGTGAACACAGAGGGGTAGTGCTCCCTCTCTTTCCTCCTGGCCTCTATGTGTGCATTGCCAGGCCTCTTGGACCACCTCTGCCTCAGCTTTCTCCTCTTGTGTTTCAGCCTTTGAACTCACTTCTTCCTCCACTTGGCTTTCTTGGAACTCTCACAACAGCACCGTGTTCTATGAAATTATTTAATCATTTTGCCCATTTCCCCCATTCTGCAGATGAGGAAATAATAATAACTAATACCAACAACAATAAGGCTTCTATTTATGGAGTGCTCTGAAGTTTACAGAGCCCTTTACATGATGTTATCTCATTTGAGGGAGGGGCTATAGCTATTATATTACTAAATCTGTGAGAGAGAGACTAAAGCAGCCCCCATTATCTTCTCCCTGTTTTACAGATGAAGAAAGTGAGGTCTAGAAAGGGGAAGGGAATGACTTGCCCAAGGTCACACTGCTAGTAAGTGGTAGTGAACCAGAATTTAGATCCAGGACTTTCGATTCCCAGTTTTGTGTTTTTCCTCTATGACTGTGCTTCTTTCAGATAGAGCCCTTATAGCCCGGGATTTTTAGCTTTGTTTCTTGGGTTTTGTTGTTTATGTATGCATGTTTCATTATTACACATATTTATATTTTACAGAAATAGGTTACATATACAGAGTGTTACATAAATAGCTTATATTCACAGAGTGTCTCAAAGGTCTTAGTGTAGTTAGAAGCTCTAGTAGTTGAAAATTGGACTGAAACTTTTGATACCTTATACATGTTAACTAGTTTTTGTATTTTATATGCATACATACATAAATATGTAGAATATAGTTAATTGTTCTTTGCAGAACAAACATATTTTTAATGACCAGAGTTATAATTGAGGTATTTTTTTGTTTGTAACATAAGCAATCAATTTCTAATTTATTTTTTTTTCTTCCTTCCTCTTCAAGACCTAAAAAGTAAGTAAATCCTCAATATTTCCCTAGCACGTCTTTGGTTCACACTTAGGTGAACTATGAGCTAAGGCAGTTCTAATGATTCTTTTCCCATTTCAGATCTAAAATAATTAAAGTGGAGAATTTTGAGTCCTACTTTAAGAAACAGCAGGCCGACTCCAACTGTGGTTTCGCAGAGGAGTATGAAGTATGTATCTCCAAGGAGTCATATTTTATGTCAAGGGCCTTTTATTTCTTTAGTTTGAATTTAGAGGAAACCCACCTACTTTGGTGACGGAGAGAAGCTTTGGCAACTCAGAACCAGACCTCACTTAAAGCAGAGGGCTCTGAGGATAGCGGTCAGCTTGTCTCCTGAAAGGAGGCGACATTTAACCACCCACTGACTAGAGTAGTAATGTGAAGTTCTTTCCTCTCATGGTATGATCAGGGGGCTGGAAACCTGGCTCTGTCACTCTTCCTCCCTTGGAACAAGGCCCTTCTCCTCTTGGTCACGTATCTGTGAAATGAGTACGTTGGCTACTTCGAGTGCTGAGGTCCTTAACAGCTGTCTATGAGTTTCAGAATTTGAAAGGAATATTCAGGTTGACTCTTATCAATCGGTGAAGACTATTCAGAAGTGGAAGTTAAGACTGAGTCTCAAGTCAGTAGAATATATGCCAGCATGTTTCAGAATTTCACGGATCTCTGATTGGTTTGGGCTGGGGCCTCTCTTCACCTCTTCGTGCCCTACTACATGGTCATTAAGTTGCCAGAACTTTAAAAAAAAAAACCCATCTTTTGGTGGTGCTTGGATAACAGATTTATGATTCCTCACTGAGCTCATCCCTATTTTGGCCAGTCCCCGTGCTTTGCCAATGTAACCTAACATCTCCTCTATGACATGGTGAAGCATCGGGGCAGCCCTATAATACGGGGATCGTTAGACACAGTCAGTAATTATGGGGGTTAGAGCCGGAAGGGACCTTTGGGATCAACCCAAACCAACCATTTTACAGATGCCAAAACTGAAGCCTAAACAAGGTAGGTGACCGGTCAAGGTCATGTGTCCTAAGTATCAGAGCCTCTGCCTCCAAATGTAGGGCTCTCTTCGGCACACCAAACCCTCTGCCATTATTTAGCCCCCTATGAAGCAGTTCCTGGATGCTCAGAAGCCCGTGTTCATGATGTGATGTTGTGTCTTGCGATTATGTGGAACTCCCTGCTTTGGGCTACATCCTTGACTATCTGCTCTCCTGTTTTGTAGGATCTGAAGCTCATTGGTGTTAATCAACCGAAATTTGCAGCTGAGATTCCGGAAAATAGAGGAAAGAACCGATATAATAACGTCCTACCGTGTATGTTGTTTCCTTTGTTTTATTGGAAATAGTTTGGCAGTTTCTACCAGTCTTTTGCATCTGTAGCAGTAGTCATAGACTCATGGTGGTGCTAGGTCTGTTGTAACCCAAGAAGTTCAGTCAACTCTTTGTCATCCAGCAATAACAACTACCACTTCCATAGCTCTTTGAGGTTTCCAAGACACTTTACATATGTTATCGCATTTGATTCTCACAGCAGTGCAGTCCAGTGCGGTATTATCCCCATTCTACAAGTGAAGAAACCGAGGTTGAGAGAGGTTAAGTGATTTGCTCAGTGTCACATAGGTAGTAACTGTCTAAGTTAGGATTTGAACTCAGCTCTCCTGGCTCCAAGCCCAACACTGTGTCCATGGCACCACTGTGAATTACCCGATGTGGTTTCTCCTTTCGTCAGCTTACTGAGACTAAAAGGAGATTAGTGGGGAGTGGGACTGGGGTGGTGGCCGTGTTCTCTGGGGATGAGTGACCTCGGGTAGGTCACAGCTTTCTGATGCCTCGATTTCTTCAGCTGTAAATGAGGAGGTTGGGACCAGAGAACCTCTGGGGTCTCTTCTGGTTCCACATCGCTGAGTCCATAAGCTGCAGAGAGGCCCCAAAAGAAGGAAATTTGCTTAGAAGTGGCGCTGTCACAGTGGAATGAGTGTCCTAGGAGATAACAGACCCCTCTCCCAGTGCTGGAAGCCTTTCGGTGGTGGCTGGATAGCTATTGATTTGAGTTGTTGGCCAAAGTCCTCCTCATGGAGTTAGACATTGGATTAGGTGGTCTCGGACATCCATTCCAACTCAAAGACCCTGCTTCTTTTGGTTCTTCTAGTGATTAAGCTCTTAGAATGACGGCAGAGGTGCTGGTGGGGTGGTGGTGGAGAGGGAGTCTGAGGTTGACCCAGGCTTTGGTGAGGCCCTTCCAGCTCTGTGAGCCAGCCTGGCTTTATCTTAATTACTGGTTATTGAAAATGACATGTTAGTGGGGGTGTATTCTTCCTTGAGGAGGTCGTGGCTGTGTCTTCCCTCATTCTAAATGCTGTGCTCTGTCATGACTGATTTCCTGGAATAATGCTTCTATGATAACCGTTTTCTTCTGACATCCCAGATGACATTTCTCGTGTGAAGCTTTCCATCCAGACACAAGTGACTGATGACTACATTAATGCCAATTACATGCCAGTAAGTACTCCAAGGTTGGGATGACACCATTCCTCCCTCCTTTACCCAACCCTTCAGAACCTTTCTTCTTGACTCTTACACATAGAAAATGAGTCTCTTTGCTTTTTTCTTTCTTGCTTTTTTTTAGGGCTACTACTCTAAGAGGGATTTTATTGCCACTCAAGGACCCTTACCAAATACACTAAAGGACTTTTGGCGTATGGTCTGGGAGAAAAATATTTATTCTATTGTTATGTTGACCAAGTGTGTTGAACAGGGAAGGGTAAGTATCTTTAAAAAAAAATCAGCATCATTTCTCTTCAGATTTCAAAAATTATTTTTTTTCCTTAGATAAAAGGAAGGCAAAAAAAGTGAACTTATTACCTCCATAAATAGAAATATCTTGCTCTTTTAGATAACATCTTTTAATTTTTATTTGACTTTTTTTTAAAATTAAGTCAAGTCACCAAGCACTTATGAAAGGCCTACCATGTGCCAGGCACTGTGCTGAATCCTGGGGATAAAAAGAAAAGTAAAAATAGTCCATGCCTTAAAGGAACTCATAGTCTAGTGGAGGAGACAACATAGATAAATAAACAAGATATATACAGAATAAATTGGAAATGATCAAGAAAGGGAATGAACGAACTCTGAGAGAGATTGTGAAAGACTTCTTGCAGAAGTTAGGATTTTAAGTTGAACTTAGAGTAAGGCAGAGAAACCAGTAGGTGGAAATAAGGAGGGAGAATTCCAAGCAGGAGGGGTAGTCATTAAAAATGCTCAGAGTTGGGAATTAAATTAAATTAAAAATTATTTTTCTCCCTCCCATCCCCCCCCGAAACAATAAGAAAAAAACTCAACACACACACACACACACACACACACACACAGTTAAGCAAGGCAGATTGTCTCATTGGCCACGAGCAACAATGTACGTCTCAGCCTGTATTTTGAATCCAGTGGGAAGTGAGTAATATGCTTCATTATCAGTACTCAGGAGCTGTGGTTTGTCACTATATTGATCAGAGTTCTAAAGTCTTTCAAAGTTAGTTTTCTTTAAAGCTCGTATTGTACAGATTGTTCCCTTGGTTCTGTTCACTTTGCTTTCTGTCAGTACATACAGCTCTCCCCAGTTTTCTCTGGACTGTCTATTTTGTCATTTCTTATGGTACAATAATATCCCATTACACTCATATACCATAAGTTGTTTAGCCAGCTCCCACTCGGTGGCTTCCATTTTTTTTTTCCACTCCAATGAAATGAGCTGTTTAGGTAACAACTTGAAAAAAACAAACAACAAACCAATTTATCTCCTGGGATGAATCTAGGTTACAATGGCACCTACTTATGCCTTAATATCTTCTTATGCAATGAGATCTTAGTTTATGACTTTCTACCATTACTTCATAGGAAGATTCACTCAATGTGTTCCACTTGGAACTTTGTTCAATGATTTTTTTGAATCAGTCCAGTAAAATTTGAGGAAGATGCGCAGCAGGCTGAGATAATGGTGTGACCCATAGCATCAATGAATGTGTATTTATAGGAGTGTCTATTCCGGGAGCACGCGGTTGGAAAGGAAGCCTGGAATCTCTAGGCAGCAAGCAGGATTCTGCTAGGCATACTTTCTTTTTCTCTAATTCCATTAAAAAGAATTCATGATCTTTTGGGATTGTTTTCTAATATACCCCTTCCTCTGCATTGAATGAATAAATGAAAAAAAATTAACTCATCACTTACTTTATCTACTGGGTATACAGATGCAAAAGCAAAGATAGGTCTTCTCCTCCAAGAGCTGACATTTTAAGGGCAAGGTGGGGGGAGTGGTTGGAGACAACACATATAGGGGACTTGTGGCTAGGGAGGGAAAGCTGGACCCAGGGAGTTACAGAGATGCTAAGAGTGGAGATTTGGGGGAGTCCATTGCCACACTCCTTCCCATATCAATGGCAGAGTTGATTTGATCATGTATCCGGAACCAGAGAGAGGAGTGAGGGGTTGTAAAGGTTATAAAGGGGTAACGTGGTTTGATGGTACCATAAAGGGGATGACTGGGGTGTCAGCAGTGCAGTGAAGCACAGCTGGGGGTGGGCATTAACTCCAGGGCATCGAATCTTCCCTTGTAACAAAGAACAAGTAAAACATACCATCAAAGCAACTAAATTTGCCAGTTTATATTTCATCCCTTTAGTTCACCAGTTCCCTTTTGAGAAAAGAGAGATGTTTGTTACATCTCTTGTTCTCCAGAACCAAGTTTGTTCGTTACCATTGTGCTTATTTTATTGCAATGATGCTTCTGGATTCTCTTGTAACACAGAGTGAATGAAACCATCAACAGCCTAAGAGAATGTCATTGTATTCACAGAAATCAACTTTGTTTTTGTACTTTGAACCAGTAAAGTCCAGTTAGTGAAGAATCTTGAACTTTTTTTTCCCTCCAGGGATGGAAATGGTTGGTTTGGACTCTGTGAAGTCTGTTTTTGTTTTTTTTTTAAACTTTTGTTGATACAGTTACCAGCTGGACCATCTGGATGGTCTTGATAATTTTCCATCTCGGGGGTGGGTTCTGGTGGTCCTGGAGCTGAATTTCTTCAATTTCTCAGTTCTACCCACTACCTGCCATATCCACAGTCTTCTAAAGCACTAAAATAGTTGGACTTTTGCAGCTATTTTTACTTTATTTAAAATCAATGCTGACTTCCCAATGAGTGCGGTGTTGAGAGCCTTGAGTGACAGTTCCATCTTTGTTTCTTTGCTCATTTGTCATTCTATCTGATGGGATCCTGCCAGAAACCATCTTCTGATTTTGGTCATTGGCTGAAGCTTTTGGTTTTTTGGTGGGGTTTGGGTGTTTCCTCCAAAGTGTGCCTCTTGTGCATTGAGGGACGATCACCTCTCTGGTCCTGGATCTCACACCTTTGTTTTGTCTTTTTATCCCTGGTGCTATGTCTTTTTGCACATAAGTGCTTAATAAATGCTGATTGGATTGATGCTGTATTTTGTTTTAGACCAAATGTGAGGAATACTGGCCTTCCAAACAAACCCAGAACTATGGGGATATCACTGTTGGCATAATATCAGAAATCATCCTTCCAGAATGGACAATAAGGGATTTCACAGTGAAAAATGTGAGTAAGAGCTGGGGGAAGAGGATTGCAGAACTTTTGGGGGGCCTGAGAGGGCCTCTAGTCCTGTCTCTCACAAGCAGGGGTTCCCTCTATCTCATCTCTGACAAGGGGCCATCCAGACAGTGCTGGAAAAGCAAAAGGTACCCTGGAACAAAGACTCCCTGTGCTTTTGGTATTGCTTTGTTGGGTGATAGACTAAAGATGGGATGTTTACTCAGAGTGTGGAGTAGACTCCTTTGTCCTCCCCAACCAAAAGTATCTCCTGGGAAAAAAAAACTAACCAGAAAATCATTTTTTTGGGAAAAAAAATCTTAGTATTAATTGCTATTTTATCACCTCAGTGATTGCCCCAGCCTACTCTTGAAGGCTTTGAATTATAGAATAATTTCTGCTCTGTTTTGGTAGTGGAAGTTCCTTCATTGGGTGCTCCCTGCACTGATAAAAACACTGACCCCCATCCCAAAGCCCTCCCTACTCACTACCTTCCCATAAAACACTAATACCATTATTATTTAGTTTGTATTAACTAGTTAATAATTAGCACTAATAGTATGAATTAGCAGCATTGTAGTAGAAATTTGGAATTGCAGTTCCAATGAAGGCCTAGAGCTTCCTGCTCTCCCCCAAGAGCTCCTCAGGTTGGGCTGGCATCCTTCTCCATTGCTTCCCTTGCTTGGCAGAACAAGACCAGTGAGAGCCACCCTCTGCGTCAGTTCCATTTTACTTCCTGGCCTGACCACGGCGTGCCGGACACCACAGATCTGCTCATCAACTTCCGCTACCTGGTCAATGATTACATGAAGCAGAGCCCTCCAGAGTCCCCCGTGCTGGTTCACTGCAGGTATGGTGGCCAACCCCATGCTCATTCCAAGAGGCATTTTGTACATTGGATCTCTGAATCAGAAGGGACCCAGCAGGCTGTCTGGGCTCATTTTACTCATGAAGAAACTCAGGTGGAGAGATTTTAAGTGATTTACCTGTGGTCACACAGAGCAAAGAGTAAGTGGCAGAGGCAGGGTTTGAACCTATACCCTTTGACCCTAATAAGCCAGCACTCTCTTTCCATACAGCTTCTGTCCATTCTTGATTCCACAACATACCAAGTGGTTATCCAGTTTTGGCTGGAGGATCTGATTAATTTCTGAACCAGGCATTTTCAGTTTTGTATAGCTATAATTACTGGGAAGTTCCCCTGTGCAAATGGAACCTTTAAGACTTGATGTAACTTCTCCCCCTTGCTGGTAATTCTGCTTTTTTGAGGCCTCTTTTCTATCTGACAGCCCTTCAAATATTAGAAGACAGTTGGTGAGGGTTCCACTTTGCCCTTTTCCCAAATCTTCTCTTCTCCAGACTCAACATGCCAAATTACTTCAAGCAATACTCATATGGCATGAATTCAGGCCCTTCATCACCCCCTTTGCCTTCCTTTGGACCCATTTCAGTTTATAAGTGTCCTTCTTAAAATGTGGTGTTCGGGACTGAACATCATCCTTCAGAGTGCTCAGAGTACTGAGGGATGATTAACTCCCTAGTCCTGAATCTCAGAAGAAGGCCCTCCAGTTGCCAAAGGCCTGTCGGGCATATTCCAAGGTAGGGACAGCATTGGGTGGCACACTGTCATTGGGGGCTGCTGTGACCTTCAGAGGTTCAGGCAGGTACACTTGTTGGTTGCTCCTGGGCCTGTAGCAGACATAGAAAGGAGGGTCTGGGGGAATGTGTCTAGAGAGCTGGCTGTGGGGGAGAGTGGTGAAGGAACAAGGGGGTGTCTCCTGCCAATTAGAGCTGTCCAAAATTTGGATGGGCTGTCTGTGCCCCTCCCCCCTCCTTGGAGGTCTTTAAGCTGAGGCTGGAGGATCACTGATCAGGGATGTTACCTTGAGGAATCCTTTCATAGGCATATTGCAGAATATGGCTGCTGAGGTCCCTTTGCACTCTCAAATTCTGTGGTTCTGTGGTTCCTGGATGTGGTCAACCTGAAGAACAAAAGAGGACAGGTGGAGGAGGGCGTAGAAGAGAGGGGACAGTCACTGCTCAAACCTGGCCTACTTGCCTCAGAGTTACTTATAAAGTCCACATCAGAGAACCTGTGTGAAAGCCTTTGCAAACCGTGAAGTGCTTTATATATAGACCAGGCTTCTATTATCATAGATATGGGATGATGGCTAACAGAGATGCAGTCTTAATTTATTGCAAAGTCCTGGGAGATTTCACATTAGAGACTAAACATCTTTTTTTTTTTTAAATAAGCTATTCATAGAAATTGAGAACACGGAAATAAATGGGCTGGACTAGAGCAGCAAACTCAGGGGTGTGTGTGTGTGTGTATGTGTATGTGTATACACGCAGGAAGATTCGTGCTTCAGCAAAAGATTAGGCTAGATTAAATTCAATTCAGCAAACTTTCATTGTGTCTGCCTCCAGGCCTAGCTCTACTTTGCATCGTGCCAGGAATATGATGAGAACAAGGGGCAGAGTCCTCTAGGAAAGTTGAATTTTAGGTCCCCGTGTTATTTAGTGATGTGACGTGAGTGTATGTGTCCTTCCTTCCAGCGCTGGAGTTGGCAGGACAGGTACATTCATTGCCATAGACAGACTCATCCATCAGATGGAGAATGAGAACGCCGTAGACGTGTATGGGATTGTATATGACCTCCGCCTGCATCGACCCTTGATGGTGCAAACAGAGGTATGGCCAAATGCTGTTCCCACGAGCCAAGGGGGGGGGGAGGAGGAGCAGGGAGACACACTCTGCCCTCTTATTCAAACATTGCATCCTGATATCCCTTTGGAAAACATGGGTGGTAGCTAAGAGACTGTTGTCCTGACTTGCCGGAGCTCAAAAAAAAAAAAAAAATTCCTTTACCTGGTGGTCTCACCTAGTGCCTGTCATAGAACAAATGCTTAATAAATGTCAATTGATTCATTTGATTGAAATGCAGGACAGTAAAATAGCTGGGCACTGGCAGCAAACCCAGAGGTTAAGGTTCTGCTTCATGGAGAGGTTGGACTACATTCATTTCTGTTCATTGAACACTTACAGTCAGTGAGCATTTATTAAGCACCTCCTCTGGGTCAGGCACTGTGCTTCAGACACTGTGCTCAGTCCTCACCCTCAGAGCTTGTGATCTACAAAATCTTAGGTCTATAGCACCACAAGGTCAAAATAGAAAAGATGAAGGCTCTGTCCTCCAGGACGGGACTTCTTCACCTTGGGTTGGTGAATTTGTTGGTTTGCTTCTAGTATTTTGATAGTTATTTCAACATCATTTTTTTCCTTTATAAGCCTATGGAGTTAACTTTATGCATTCACCAACATGATTCTGAGAAGGGGTCCTTGGGCTCCACCAGACTACCAGAGGCGCCCTCGACACTCATAAAGGGTTAAAAACCCCTGATGGAGATCACAGGTTTATTTGATGAAAGAACGTGTTAATAGTCCAATGCCATTTCCATAGTGTGCCCAAAAGTGTTGGCCCCATGTTGGCAGAGTGCCAGCCCCAAGGATAAACACTCAGCAGCTACAGTAGGGCACTGGATCTGGTCTTGCTGAGCTCAAAGGCTTCTCTCAGGTGCCACTTCCTTCCCAAAGCCTTTGCTTATCCCACCCATCTGAAAGGGTCTTCCCTTCTCAAGGTTTTCTAATCACAACAATAACCACGTCATAGTTTAAAGTTTGCAAAATGCTTTCCGTGTTGTCTTTTTCAATCTTCAACAACAACCATCTGAAGTAGGTGTTATTATTATCCCTGTTTTACATGTGAGGAAACCGAGACTTAGAAGGGCTTAGTGACTTGCCTAGGGTCAGACAGCTAGTAGGTATTTGAGGCAGGATTCTAACTCAGGTTTCCTGACTCTTAAGTCAGGCAATTTGTCTACTGCCCTTCCTGGCTGCCTTCTAAGCACTTTATCTGGATCTCTTGAGCCCACTGTGGTAGAGCTGAAAGGACCTGCATACCAGGGTTGGTGCCCCTGCTTTGCCTTGTCATGTTGGGGTGTTGTTTGTGAGGAACAGGAAAGACGGTTTGGCTCATCTGGAGGACCCAGGAGGAAATGGAGTAATGGATGATGAGTTGGGAAGGTAGGTTGGGGATAGGTTGTGATGGTAGATTTCAGTTGGAAGGGACCTTAGAGGTCATGAAGTCCAACCCCCCACTATCCACTATGTTACTTAGCTACCTCTCCCTGCCTGTGTGACTTTGACCAAATTGTTTTCCTAGTCTGAACCTCAGTGTCTTTATCCATAAAATGGGGATAATGATACTAGTTGCATTAGATAACTCTGTCCCTATTGTATCAAAATGCTTCAAAGACCTTGGTGCAATTTAGGAACACTAGCTGTTACTAAGACTTTTGGAGGCACATTGTGTTTCCTTGGGGAGCCTTCTCTTGCCTAGAAGAAAACTGCAGATCTAGCCTATTGTTGGCAAGGAGAAAGATGGAGGCACTCTTTTTTTTTTTGGTATGAAATAAAATACTTTTGAACAAAGCATCTCATCCTCTGGGCTGGTTTGCTTCACAAACAGAGTAATAGCCCAGGAAGCATTTCCTAAGCCCTTCCTTTGTGTAGAGGTCCTGGAGGTACAAAGATACAAACTCTTAGCCTCTCCCTTAAGGGGCCTGCATTCTGTTGAGGGCACACGGCAGGTACATATGTATAGAATGAATGTGTAACAAACAAGTGGAAGGTTATTTGGGGCACTGAGGAGCTGAGGGGAGTGGCTAAGGCCTCACGGAGAAGATGGCGCTTGCCCCACGTCTTGAAGGAAGTGAATTCCTAGAGGCAAGGAGTGCATTCTAGGCATGGGAGAACGGCCAGGGCAGAAGCCCAGGGATGGGGGATGGAGTCTCATGTGTGAGGACCATCAGGGAGGACAGTTTGTCTGGACCACACAGTACAGGATGGGGAGTAATGTTGGAGGCATCTAGAAAGGTAGGTGAGTGCCACAGGGAGAGAGTATGAATATTTGGTCCCAAATCGATAGCTAAGATAGCCTTCAGATATCTTCTAAGGTCCCTTCCAACTCAAAGTTTCTGATCACAACCTAGCCCTAACCTACCTCCCCCATCTCATCATCCGTTACTCCATATCCCACTGGATCCTGCCATCCAACCAGGCTGTCTTCTTGTTCCTCACAAATGTGTCTTTCCGTCAGTGAAAAGAACACTGGTTTTGCAGTCAGAGGATGTGTGTTCAAATACCACTCCTGACACTTTTGACCTTGGGCAAATCACTAGGCCTCCATTTCCTCATCCATAAAATGAGAGGACAGGCTAGATGGTCTCTGAGAATCCTTCTGATTCTATATGTGTGATGCCTCAGGGAGCTTATTGTCTAGTGGGGGTTAAGTAACCAATACAGGTGTGTCTAACTAATAGCATTGCATGATAAGTCCAGCAGAGAAGTACAGAATTCTGTAGTCAGAGAGCTCCAAGGGGGATCATCATTCATTCCCCACTGAGAATCAGGGAAGGCATCCTGGAGGAGAGGGCAACATTGGAGTTCAGCTTTGCAGGATGGGTAAGAATTTGGTAGGTGAAGGGAAGAGATAGGAGGCTTTCCTTCCAGCTTCTGGGACCCATCCAAACAAAGACCCAGAGACAGTTTCAGGCCCAAGTATGTTTTCTGCTCATGTCCCACGCCCAGTTTCAAATCAACTTTCCTTCTGACCTCAGTGAAACTCCTGATCATTGTTTTTCTCTTGCATTTTCTTCGTCAGGATCAGTATGTCTTCCTCAATCAGTGTGTTTGGGATATTATCAAATCCCAGAAAGACTCCAAAGCTGATCTCATCTACCAAAACACAACGGCCATGACCATCTATGAGAACCTCGAGCCAATGACTGCTTTTGGGAAGACAAATGGTTACATTGCTTAATTCCAAAGGAAAACCTTCCTGCCCAGGGCTTCCTGGGCCCAGCGCCCCCACAGTAAAGGGAAATGAATGCACTGTTGTGGATATGTTTTTATATGTACAGTGTCTTAATTTGTGTGTGCGTGTGCTTGTGTGTGTGCATGTGTGCGTGTGTGTGCGTGTGTCTGTATTCTGTTTGGTTATAACCAATTGAAGGCTTGAAGATACACATATAAGAAAATGCAAACAAGAAGTTGGACTTGAGGGCCTGTGGTTGAGTAAACCAACTACATTCCGGATTAAGAATAGGATGAGTTGACTTTTTTCCTGGGGGTTGCAGATCAATGAGGAAAAGTGAGCTGCGAATCTTTCCCCCCCTCTTCTTTCTGAAGGACACACGTTCTCGTTCGTTTTCTCTCCCTTCTCTCTCTTCCCCCCCTTCTCTCCCTCCCTCCCTCCCTTTCCTCCCCTCTCTTGCTCTCCCACTCTCTCCTTCCCCTTCTCTTTTTTTAAACGAGCAAACTCTTTTATATGATTCACATTCTGAAGCCAAGATTGTGTTGAGTTGACTATATTTTGAGGATCAGAAGTCTATTTTTACCTACTGTATCTTGGAATCTCACTGATGGATAAATGCATAATTTTGGTTGTTTATAGTGTCAGGAGGGAGATGTGGTATCTCCTCCATGTGGATTTTATATTTAAACATGTGCCTTTCCTAATTATGCTTCCGTAGGCAAAAAGCAGTAGATATCTATATTTTTATATTGAATCTCATAATTGGAATATACATTATATTTAAAAATAGATTAGTAGAAAAGGCTTAGCCTTTTCAGTGCCATTCCTATGGTCTTTTTTAGAGCAACCTTTCCTCTCTTTCCTCTCTCATCTTCTTTCATTCCCTCTCCTTTTTTTATTTCCTCTTTCTTTGCTGTCTCTCTCTTTCTTCCATTTTCCCCTTCCTCATCTCTTTTTTCCCTTCCTCTCCTTTCTTACTTCCCTTCAGTATATTTGACTCCCCTTTCCTTCCCTAGTTTCTTCCCAAAGACTTGGTCATTCTTGTCTCCCAGCCCCTCACTGGCTGGGCAGGGGTAGAGATGAGCTCTCTGCCCCCACAGTGACACAGCTCCGCTTGCCCAGTCTGGGCTTTTTTGTTGTTTTGTGTTTGGTAAGAAGGATTATTTAAAGGTGCAATATGTGACGTAGTGATTCATGATGCTCTATGTTTTTTAGTAGAGAATTACTCAGGTTGGTATTTTATGTGTCTTTTTTTTTTTTTAAGAAAAAAATGTGTGTGATTCTGTGAAAACTTCTGTGTAATGATCAGTGTCCAATCAGGCCCCCCTCCCTCCCCAAAGTCCACTGGCTCTTGTCTCTACTGGCAATGACATGCATCGATATCTACTGTATATATATATCAAACTCTCGTGAGTCAGAACTGAGGTGTAAAAAATTTGAATTTGTATCAAAGATGTAATTATTATTTTAAAAAATTCTTTTCAATATACTGCTGCTGTCATGACTTTGCTCTGCTTCAAATATCAATTTGGGGGAGGGAGGTGTCAAGTGTGTGTTTGTTGAAAATTCAAGAATTTAATGTGGACTTATTTTTAATGGTATCTGGTTCAGAAACTCCTCAGAGTGTCAAGATGGAAGGATCTGGTATTTGGTGGTGTTTTGTCTATTTTTTGCTCTCAGAGCTGACAGAGGGCAGCTTAGGTGGATCAGTAGACTGAACGCTGAACCTGAAGTCAGCAAGACTTGAGTTCAAATTTAGCCTCAGACATCTACTTGTTGTATGATGCTGGGTGAGTCATTTAACCTCTATCTGCCTCATCTGCAAAGTGGGTATAATAATAGCAATTATCTCCCAGGGTTGTTGTGAGGGTAAAATGAGATACTTGTAAGCACATTATAAACCTTGAAACACTACATAAAATACCACAGTTATTAAGAACATTTGGGGTTCAAGCTCTCCAGTAGGCATAATGTCTTCAGGCTTTCATGGAGAAATAACACAAAGTTCCAGTAGTTGGGTGGCCATTTCCCCCAGTGACCCTAGCTCAAGCTGCTGACTCAGGGTTTTTCTTAGGACTCCAGTGACCATTGATGGGGGGCACCTACTTGTCTCCTGGCACTGTTGTGCCCTTCACCCCAGGTGCATCCTGAAGAATTAAGTAGATGCTGCAGAGGTCCAGAGCTGAGGCTATAAAGGGGAGAATAATAGGGGGGCTATTTCAGCTCTGTGTGTGTCTCAAAGACTGCATTACATGGTCGTCCTCTTCAAGAACAAAGCACCAACAAGTTTTCTTTGAGTTACAGAAAGGGCTAAAAGGGAAGCTGGTGTTCTAGAAGATAGGATCTAATCCTATCCCCACAGGATTACAGGAGGAATTCCGGGATGGCAGAGTGGGGAGAGACATCAGCAGCCGTCTAATCTGGTCCAGCCTGGACCAGTCAAAGAGTCCTCATGACAGTGTGCCCAACGAGATCATCCAGCCACTGCATGGTGATCTCCAAAGAGAGGCCACCATCTTGCTCTCAGATAGCTCGGTCACTCATTTTCTCCTGATGTCCAGTCCAAATCTGCCTCCTTATTACTCCTACGCATTGCTCCCAATTCTGTTCTCTGGCTGCTAATGAAACAGGTTAAATCCCCTTTCCACGTGGCAACTATTCCAGCCCCACCTCCCCAAGCCTTCTCTGCTGGCCAGACATGCCAGATCCTTCAGCCAATCTTTGTATGGTAGGAATTTACTCTTTCCAAAGCCTTTGCTTTCCCTAGCAGCTGTTAATACATTTAGTATCGGGTCAAAACCTCAGACTTGGGTCTATGATGAGATGGAACAAAGTTTGGGATGGATGAGGCTGGTTGGTTCATATTTTATTGACCCTGTCTTCAGGCTCTCTGCTGGGCAGGTACTTTGTTGTTGGGGCCTCCAAGTCAGGGAGCCTCTTTGTGCCCAGAGTTGGGGAGGAATGTGGGCACAGGTAGGCAGCCTGGCAAGTGGTTCAAGCAATGGACTTGGAGTCAGGAAGACCTTGATTTGAGTCCTGCCTCCAACACTGAAATAGTGGTATGACCATGGGCTAGACACAGGGAGGGTCAATTTTTTCAATTACAAATTGGGAATAATACCTTGCCACACAGGGTGGTTGTGGTGAAGCTCAGATGAAATAGTGTTACATTACATAAAGCACTTGGCAAACTCTAGGGTGGCATATGAATACCCAGTTATCATTATTATTGCTTTTTGAAGAATTCAGGAAGTCATAAATATGAAAGACCTTCTCTCCTTTCTGATGGGACCAGTGAGAATCAAGAAAAGTCCCACAGATTTGGATAAAGGTAAGATGTGTCGAGTCAGAAAGATTCATCTTTGTGAGTTCAAATCTGGTCTCAGATACTCACCAGCTGTGTGACCCTAGGCAAGTTACTTACTCCTCTTTGCCTCAGTTTCCTCATCTGTAAAATGAGATGGAGAGGAAATAGGAAATCACTCCATTATCTTTGCCAAGAAAGCCCAGATGGGGTCTGAAGAGTCAGACATGATTGAAATGACTGAGCAACAACAAGTATAGAATTAGATGTTAAGTACTTCAGGTAGAGATTCCATCCGCCAGGGTAGTCAGCATGACCTTATGGGAAAAACACTGGCTTTGATGTCACAGGACCCCAGTTCAAATCCACTTGCTGCCTATGTGATTTTAGGCAAGTCATTTAATCTCTTCCAGATTAATTTACCTCATTTGAGGTGTTGGAACAGCACCTCCCTCACAGGTATGTGGTACTCAAACAGGATAATATCTATTGAAAGTGCTTTGCAAACATTAATGTGCTGTAGATATGCTGTTATCATTATTACTAGGACAGTGTTGCACCAGCTGACTGCTAAGGTCCCTTGTAGCTTTCGATCCGTGATCCTATGACCAGAGGTCTCTTGCTTTATGATTTGGAACATTGCTGGGATAGGGACCCAGATGATCAGCTTGCTTCTTGTACCCTGGCTGTGCTGTACCAGTTGCTATCTCTGGATCTGGGCGTTCTCTCTGGTAGGAAAAACAGAGGAAAGGACTTGCCCCTTCAGTCCTTTCAGAAGATTTCCCCCCCCTTAAATAAGCACATTGTTTAAAGGACCCCTCCCTTCCTCCTGGTATGGACTTGGGAGATGGGGGCAGCGGGCTCTGACGTTGTTTCTGACCCTCGGAGGGAGGAAGACAGCTGGTGGAGAGGCCCAGCGTGATTCCTGAGAGGTCACCCATGGGGCAGGGAGATTCTGATCTACATCTTCTAGTGGCTGGGGGAATATAGGATGCCTATTTATAGTAATGCGTACAGTAAAAAGAGAAGGGGACCCCATTTGTGAGGACAAAGGGCATGAGGAAAGCGGCTGGAGCCTCAGACAGAAGCGGGGGGGGTGGCAGGGCATGAGGGGCCTCCTGTTCTCTTCCAGAACAATGAGACAGAGCCTGATGAATTCATATTCATACCTTCGGTGCTATTATTTTGTTTGTCCTTTGCAAAACATGGGCAGAAAAGCTGCCTTCTTTATTTTTCAACGAAGTTTTATTGATTTCTTTGACTTTTTATACTAGTCATTCCTACAAATATCCCCTCTCTTCCTGGAAACCTCCAGTGTAATGCAGAAAAAAATGGTTAAGTGAAAAACTCCCATGGTTGGGACAGGCCTTCACACACACACACACACACACACACACACACACACACACACACACACAC